TCCTGTGCAAGCTCTTTTATCTCAGCTCTAATGAATGGACCTGAGACTATGGGGCTGCTGGCCTGGGAGCGCTACAATAAGTCTCTGACCTATTTCTTCCTTTATGCTGCAGTTGTCCCACTCAAAACTGCCAGGATTAGAGCCAAAGTCTTGACTCTCTTGCCTTCTCCCATCTGCCAGGACTGTTTCTTCCCTGTTTCCATTCACTATGCCTCTTATTTTGGTAGCCAGGAACCCCCCCTGTTATTTTTGCCTTTCAGGTAAGGTAATGTGTTAAAAGCAGGGATTGGGGGCCAGTTTTTGCAAGAACGGAATCCTTATTTAAATTGGTTTAGAACGTTCAAATCTTAGCACTACCAAAAACCCCACAAAAATTTGTTATGGAGGAGCTAAGGTGAAGGGGAGGCTGAGCAAATCCATGTGAGACATGGATTTGTCTTGGCTGTTAGAAGACTTTAGCATTTCACACCTTTTTAGTACCAAAGTGTGATACCTCCTCATTAGAAGGAAAATGTGCTAACTTTCATTTTTTAGCTCCTTCCTTCCTTCCTTCCTTCCTTCCTTCCTTCCTTCCTTCCTTCCTTCCTTCCTTCCTTCCTTCCTTCCTTCCTTCCTCTTTCTTTCTTTCTTTCTTTCTCTCTCTCTCTCTCTCTCTCTCTCTCTCTCTTTCTTTCTTGTGCCAGTCCTGGGGCTTGAACTCAGGGCCTGGGTGCTGTCCCTGAGTTTTGTTTTGTTTTGTTTTTCTCAAGACTAGTATTCTAGCTGGGCACTGGTGGCTCACGCCTGTAATCCTAGCTACTCAGGAGGCTGAGATCTGAGGATCGCGGTTCAAAGCCAGCCCGGGCGGGAGAGACCGTGAGACTCCTATCTCCAATAAACCACCAGAAAACCGGAAGTGGCGCTGTAGCTCAAGTGGTAGAGCTGAAGAGCTGAGGGACAACGCCTAGGCCCAGAGTTCAAGCCCCACGACCGACAAAAAAAAAAAAAAAGACTAGTATTCTACCACTTTGAGCCACAGTACCGTTTTGGGTTTTCTGGTAGTTACTTGGAGATAATGGTCTCATGGACTCTCCTGCCCAAGCTGGCTTTGAACTGTAATCCTTAAATCTCAGCCTCCTAAGTAACTAGTATTATAGGTGTAAGCCACTGGTGCCAGGCACATTCTTTGTTTTTATTTCTTTTTGTTTGTTTTGTTTTTTGTTTCTTGGAGTTTTTCTTTTCTGTGCTTTGGATTGAACTCAGGGGAAAATCTTTTTTTTTTGGGTCTGGTCATGGGGGCTCTACCACTTGAGCCACAGCATCACTTCTGGCTTTTTTTCTTTTTGCTTATGTGGTGCTGAGGAATCAAACCCAGGGCCTCAGGCATGCAAGGCAAGCGTTCTACCACTGAGCTACCTTCCCAGCCCCTCGTGGGAAAATCTTTACAATGAAACAGCCTTGCCTTTTTTTCTGCCTTGCCTCGCCTTGCCGTATGTGTGTGTGTGTGTGGGCCAGTGTGCCAGTGTGCCAGTCCTGCCGTTTGAACTCAGCCTAGATGCTGTTTATGAGATTTATTATTTATTTTTTGGTCGGTTGTGGGGCCTGAATTCTGGGCCTGGGTGCTTGCTGTCCCTCAGCTCTTCAGCTCAAGGCTAGTGCTCTACCACTTGAGCCACAGCGCCACTTCTGCTGAGGAATCAAACTCACAGCCTTATGCATGCAAGGAAAGCACTCTACCACTTAGCCACCTTCCCAGCCCCCTGTTTGTGAGCTTTTTTTTGCTCAAGGCTAGTGCTCTACCACCTGAACCACACCTCCACTTGTGACTTTTTGGTGGTTAATTGGAGATAAGAGTCTCACAGACTTACTTGTTTGGGCTGCTTGGAACTGCCATCCTCAGATCTCAGCCTCCTGAGTAACTAGGATTACAGGTGTGAGCTACCAGCTCCTGGCTTCCTGCTATCTTTTACATCCCTATCTTTTTTTTTTGGCGGGGGGGTCCGATCGTGGGGCCTGAATTCTGGGCCTGGGCACTGTCCCTCAGCTCTTCAGCTCAAGGCTAGCACTCTACCACTTGAACCACAGCGTCACTTCCGGCTTTTTTCTTTTTGCTTATGTGGTGCTGAGGAATTGAACTCAGGGCCTCGAGCATGCAAGGCAAGCGCTCTACCACTGAGCCAACTTCCCAGCTACATCCCTATCTTTTACATCAGCTTCCTAGACTGTCACGTGAAGAGAACAATCAAGGAAGGCCTTCAGTCTAGACATGTTTGCATGTATGCATGCAGAGGGTGTGTGTGTGTGTGTGTGTGTGTGTGTGTGTGTGTGTGTGTGTGTGTGTGTGTGTGTGTGTGTGTGTGTGTGTGTGTGTGTGTATGTGTGCAGGTGGGGGTGGTATGCACAAATACTGTGTGTGTGTGTGTGTGTGTGTGTGTGTGTGTGCGCGTGCGCGCGCGTGCGCGCAGGTGGGGGTGGTATGCACAAATACCTCAGTGATTTCCCTGGAAACCACCATGTGTCTTGAGGTGAGTCAGGGATTTCATGCACTGCAGCTGCCTCATCAGAGCCCAAGTTACCGCTGTGCAGGTCCCTGAGAATAAACAGCAAAGAAAAGTCTCCTAGTTCTTCAGTTTACCCAGTGAGTGTTTTTCTGGCTTCTTGTGTTGCTGGGCCCTGCTTTCAGAAAGTAGGTTAGCCCTGGGTGGTGGTAGAGGGATAGTGGCTTCCTGAAGAAGTAGACCAGTTACATAAATGTAGAGATAGCATCAGGCATTAAGCATTAGTCCGTAGGAGACTTCCTAGCCATTTCCTGTGGAGGAGTAGAGGTGGAGTCAGAATTTAGAAGTAGGTATTCAAGCCAGCCAAGGTTTCTTTTGTAAAGGATGCTGTTAATGGCTGAGCGGCGTAGCTGAAGGTGTGTATGGGACAAGATTGATGAATGTTCCTGTATTCCTGACCTGACACCAGACCAGGTAGAGAATGTCATGTGTTCATGTGTGGCCATGTAGTCAGGATCCTGGTCTGAGAAGTCTGGGATAGATGCTCAGTCTGTACCTATGTGATTGTCGAAGGCTTAAGGATTTGATTTGTTTTGTTTTGTTTTTTGGGGGGTCCGGTCATGGGGCCTGAATTCTGGGCCTGGGCGCTGTCCCTCAGCTCTTCAGTTCAAGGCTAGTGCTCTACTACTTGAGCCACTGTGCCACTTCCGGCTTTTTTCTTTTTGCTTAAGTGGTACTGAGGAAATGAACTCAGGGCCTCGAGCATGCAAGGCAAGCGCTCTACCACTGAGCCACCTTCCCAGCCCCAGGTTTAAGGATTTGAATAAACAGGGATATGCTTCAGAGAAGGGAGATGATTCTTCTGGGGAGAGGAGAATGACAGAGTAACAGATTCCTACTCACTCCCATTGGTCTTCAGTCTTATGTACTGACTACAACTGAGCTTGCCATGATTTAGGGTAATTTTGACCAGGTGTGGCCTCTTGCGTCTGATCCATTCAGAAAGTGGAGGATTTAGGAACATTCAGGAGGTTCATGAGTTTGAAGCTAACCTTTGCTTAACAAGATCATGTCTCAAAAAAAATAAAAAAAGAGGGGGCTGGGAAAGTGGCTTAGTGGTACAGTGCTTGCCTTGCATGCATGAGGCCCTGGGTTCAATTCCTCAGCACCACATAAACAGAAAAAGCCAGAAGTGGCGCTGTGGCTCAAGTGGTAGAGCGCTAGCCTTGAGCTGAAAAGCTGAGGGACAGTGCCCAGGCCCAGAGTTCAGGCCCCATGACTGACAAAAACAAACAAAATAAATAAGTTTAATTAAATTAAAAAAGAGGAATTTGGGGGATGAGTATGAAGAAACTTTTCACAGTTCAGTGTTTCAGAAGCCTCAGGGCTCCAGGATGTATCACTAAATAGAATCACTGTGTGACTGGGATTTCTTAATTCCTGTAGCACTCAGGGCTGTTCTGTGTATAGATGAGTTGCAAAAGTTGGGGGGCGGGGGGAGGGGCACTGGATCTGAACATTTTGAGGGAGAAGATAAGCTTACCCTTTTCCTCCCAAGGCTGCAGAGCTTTCTGAGGTGAAAGTCTCAGAGTTCATGCCCTTGTCTAAGTAACCATTCTTCCTATGGAGCAGGAGCCTGCCCCATTTATAGGGTAGAATTGGTTTTATTTGGTAGAAGCTTAGCTTAAAGCTAAATTTTCAGCTTAGCCCTAAGGGCCTAAGAATGTAGCTCAGTGGTAGTGCATTTGGCTAGCATGCATGAGCCCCTTTATTCCATCAGGTAATAACAAAAAACAGCAAACAACAACAACAAACACCAGCCAGGCACCAGTGACTCCTAGCTGTTTAAGAGGCTGAGACCTGAGGATCAGGATTCAAAGCCAGCCCAGGCAGGGAAGACCATGAGACTTTTCTTTTTCTCTCTTTCTTTCTTTCTTTCTTTCTTTCTTTCTTTCTTTCTTTCTTTCTTTCTTTCTTTCTTTCTTTCTTTCTTTCTTCCTTCCTTCCTTCCTTCCTTCCTTCCTTCCTTCCTTCCTTCCTTTATGTCTTTCTGTCTTTTTTTTTTGGCCAGTCCTGAGGCTTGAGTTCTGGGCCTGGGTGCTTTCCCTGAAGGGAAAGCTGAAGGCTAGTACTCTTATCACTTGAGCCCCAGAGCCACTTTTTCTGTAATTTAATTGGAGGTAAGAGTCTCAAAGACTTTCCTGCCCAGGCTGGCTTCGAGCCCATGATCCTCAGATCTCAACCTCCTAAGTTGGTAGGATTACAGGCGTGAGCCATTAGTGCCTGGCTCCATGAGACTTTTATCTCCAATTACCAAAAAAGCCTGAAGTGGTACTGTGGCTCAAAGTTGTAGAGTGCTTGCTTTTAGCAAAAAGAGCTCAGGGACAGCACCTAGGCCCTGAGTTCAAGCCTCACGACTGACAAAAATACCCCAAAGACTGTCCTTGGAACTGGGAGCATTTGAAGATCTTGCTCAGAATACTCAGCATTAGTATGTTTGTTCCTCTCTCCTTTTTTTTACAGAAAAGACCCTACATTCTTCCTTTGTCTCTATAGGCCTCATCAGATTTTCCTTCTCCCTCGTCTGTATATTCCTTCTCTGTTGGCTGGTCCTCTGATATATGGACTTAAACATGATGAACTGTGAACTTCTAGCCACTTGTAGTGCCCTAGGGTACTTGGAGGGAGACACTTACCACAAGGAACCAGATTGCTTAGGTGAGTATCTTTTTGAGGAATCAGGTAAAAACTATTGACTTGAGGAGATCTGTCTCCGGGAGGCGCTTGGGTGGAGTTTCTCCTGGGGTTCTAGGTACAAGCTTCATTCTGTCTGTCTTCAGAGAGTGTGAAAGATTTGATCCGTTACTTGAGGCATGAGGATGAGACCCGAGATGCACGACAGCAGCTGGGAGCAGCCCAGATCCTGCAGAGTGACCTTCTACCCATCCTCACCCAGCACCGCCAGGACAAGCCTCTCTTTGATGCCGTTATCAGGTTTCATTTCCCAGCCTTTTGATTTTCACCATGCATGTAACTGCATTTGTGGGTGTTTTTTGTTTGTTTTGTTTTTTGGTCATGGGGCTTGAACTCGGCTTAGGCACTGCCCCTCAGCTCTTCAGCTCAAGGCTAGGGCTCTGCTACTTGAGCCACAGGGCCACTTTCAATTTTCTGAGTGTTTTATTGGAGATAAGAGTCTCACGGATGTTCCTGCCCAGGCTGGCTTTGAATCCTGATCCTTGGATCTCAGCCTCCTGAGTAACTGGGATTACAGGAGTGAGCTACTAGCACCTGGCTGCATTTGTGTTTAAGCATTGTGTTTGGTGTGTTTTTGCCTGCCTAATTACTTCTTTCTTCTTCATCGTCTCCCCAGACTGATGGTGAACTTGACACAACCAGCCTTACTCTGTTTCGGCAGTGTGCCTAAGGAGCCCAGTGTGCGGCACCACTTTCTGCAGGTGCTAGGCTATCTGCAGGCTTACAAAGAGGTGAGGCCTTCTTTCGGTGGCCCCATGTCAGAGTTTGGAGCAGTGGGGAAAGAAGAGATGGGTACCATATATAAGATCTGTTCCCTGTTCGGCAGGCCTTTGCCAGTGAGAAGGCTTTTGGAGTCCTTAGTGAAACGTTGTATGAGTTGCTACAGCTGGTGAGTGAGCCTTCAGCACTCTGCACTTTCCCTGTACAGAGGAGATGCCGGGTCTAGAGATATCCCTATACTGGGATATCTTGGGAATATGATAGTCTACTGTATAGTCTCCTAGCCTCTTCAGGACTTTTTTCTTTTTCTTTTTCGGTCTATCATGGGTCTTAAACTCTGGGCCTGGGAGCTATCCCTCAGCTCTTCAGCTCAAGGCTAGTGCTCTACCACTTGAGCCACAGTGCCACTTCCAGTTTTCTGGTGGTTAATTGGAGATAAGAGTCTCATGGACTTTCCTACCCTTCCTGCCTGGGCTGGCTTTGACCCCTGATCCTCATATCTCAGCCTCCTGAGTAGCTAGACTTATAGGCATGAGCTATCAGTGCCCAGTTTGAACTCTTGTTTTTAATTCTGATTCTCTTCTGCAGCCTAGATAGATGTCACCTGCTTTCCACAGGGAGTCTCTCCTTCTCATTCTTTCCTTCTGACTAGGGCTGGGAGGAACGGCAGGAAGAAGACAACATACTGATTGAGAGGATCCTGCTGCTGGTCAGAAATATTCTCCATGTTCCAGCAGACCTTGAGCAGGAAAAGGTGAGGGTCTTGGAGCATCTGAGTTCCTACACTTGGTTTGGTTGTACTTGCCTTTTTTTTTGGTTGTAGGGTCTGAACTCTGGGCCTGGGCGCTGTCCCTCAGCTCTTCAGCTCAAGGCTAGCGCTCTACCACTTAAGCCACAGCGTCACTTCCGGCTTTTTCTGCTCATGTGGTGCTGAGGAATCGAACCCAGGGCTTCATGCATGCAAGGCTAGCACTCTAGCACTGAGCCACCTTCCCAGCCCCATGCTTCCCTTTTTAAGCCTTCCTGCCTTGGGGAGGAACCTTGGACCCAGGAGTGAGGTAGAAAACTCTTGGGCTGGGCCATGGAACTGAGCACGCTCCCTTCCTCCCCTTGCCACTCACTGCACAGAGGATTGATGATGATGCCAGTGTCCACGACCAGCTTCTCTGGGCGATTCACCTCAGTGGCTTGGATGACCTGCTCCTCTTCTTGGCCAGCTCATCTGCTGAGCAGCAGTGGAGCCTGCATGTGCTAGAGATTGTCTCCCTTATGTTTCGTGACCAGGTGAGACCCTCGGCTAGTGCACAGTACCCTCCATCTGTATTATGCTATCTGACCAGAACTGCTTTTGTAGTAATGATGGCTGAATCATGTACAGAACACAGGGTATGGAGTAGAGAAGGCATGTCTTCAGTCTAGGTTCCTGTCACAATTCCATTCCATCCCCAATAGGAATGTGCTCGGGATGAAGAATGATAGTTCTGACTATCTCCTCTTTGCTCCAAATCTAGAACCCTGAGCAGCTGGCAGGAGTAGGGCAGGGACGCTTAGCCCAGGAGCGGAACATGGATGTGACAGAACTGGAGGTGTTGCGTCAGCGAGAGATGGCAGAAAAGAAGACGCGCGCGTTCCAGCGAGGCAACAGGTGAATCACAGCTGCTCTGCCTCGTTGATATTAAGTTCTGCTTAATATCAAGGACCCTGAGTGCCGGAGCCAATTCAAAGATTGTAGAGTGGATAACACTTGGAAGCTCTCACTGGCCCTGAAATGCTGATTGAAGAGTAGGGTCAAGTTTCCAGAGAATTAAGGGATCACTTTGGCCTTTGTTTTCCTCCCTACAGGCACTCTCGATTTGGGGGCTCCTATATTGTCCAGGGGTTGAAGTCCATTGGGGAGAGGGACCTCATATTTCACAAAGGCCTTCACAATGTGAGTATTTTCACATCTGAGGTGGGCACACTGGAGTTATAGGAGATGGGTATCTCTTTTTTTTTTTTTTTTTTCAGTACTGGGGCTTGAACTCAGGGCCTGAAATTTGTTTGCCTGGTGCTCTACCACTTCAGCCATGTCCCCAACTAGCTTCTTTATAAGTTTAGGAAATCAGTGACTGAAAATGAAGTAGAACCTTCTAATGTGGTATTTGCCACATTATCTCCTATCAGAGGCAGGGAACCTTTAAGAAGGTTCTGAAGCTGGGACTGTGGCTTAGTGGTAGAATGCTTACATGAAGTTCTCGGTTTGATTCCTCAGTACCACATAAACAGAAAAAGCCAGAAGCGGAGCTGTGGCTCAAGTGGTAGAAAGCTAGCCTTGAGCAAAAGAAGCTCAGGGATGGTGCCTAGGCCCTGAGTCAAGCCCCAAGACTGGCAAAAGAAAAAAGAAAAAGAAAGAGAAAGAAAGAAAGAAAGAGAACAAAAAAGGAAAAAAGAAGAAGGTTCTGAGGAAATTGCAGCACCAGGAATGAGAAAAGAGCTACAGAGGAGGGTGGTGGCTAGAAGTAATTCTCACTCCTCAACCTATACCACCAGCTCCGAAACTACAGTTCCGATTTGGGGAAGCAGCCCCGAAGGCTACCTAAACGTCGTCAGGCTGCCAAGGAGCTGTCCATCCAGCGCCGCTCAGCCCTCAACGTGAGGCTGTTCCTCAGAGACTTCTGCTCTGAGTTCCTGGAGAACTGTTACAACCGGCTCATGGGCGCAGTAAAGGTGAGTCAGCAGGGATAGAGAGGCAGTCTGGGAGGGAATAGTCAAGTGGCCAGAGACGTGATGCGGCCAGTATGGGTAAGAATGGCAACCTAAGCTGGGTACTGGTGGCTCACGCCCGTAATCCTAGCTACTCAGGAGGCTGAGATCTGAGGATTGCGGTTCAAAGCCAGCCCAGGCAGGAAAGTCTGTGAGACTCTTATCTCTAACCACCAGAAAACCAGAAGTGGTGCTGTGGCTTAAGTGATAGAGCGCTCATCTTCAGCTGAAGAGCTGAGGGACAGCACACAGGCCCAGGGCTCAAGCCCCATGACTGACCAAAAAAAAAAAAAAAAAGAATGGCAACCTAGCCAGACGCTGGTGGCTCTCACCTGTAATTCTAGAAGGAACAAATGAAGGCTGACCCTGCAGGGTAGAGTGTCTCTGAGAAACTAAGATGCCAAGAGGGGAATGGGTCATTGGCATGATCAAAAAGATTCTAGGGGCTGGGAAGGTGGCTCAGTGGAAGAGTGCTTGCCTTGAAAAAGATTCTAGAGTAATTGCCCCAGAGTAAGGGGAGAGGGATACGCAGATGGGGAAGAGCAAGAGAACTGGGAATTGTGGATCCTGGAGAAGACTGTACAGTTGTATCAAGGATATACCCCGTCATACCAAGAATTTGGAATCCATGAGGTCATGGCTTTTTTTTTTCCTTCTTGTTCTGATTGTTAGGATCACCTGCTTCGTGAGAAAGCTCAACAGCATGATGAGACCTATTATATGTGGGCCTTAGCTTTCTTCATGGCCTTCAACCGAGCTGCCTCCTTCCGCCCAGGTTTAGTTTCTGAAACCCTCAGTGTCCGTGCCTTTCACTTCATTGAGCAGAATCTAACCAACTACTATGAAATGATGCTGACTGATCGTAAAGAAGCCGCCTCTTGGGCACGCAGGTGAGGGGGGTGGTTAACTCCCATCTTGGCCAGATGGGAGTCTGAATACCTGAATTTCAGATGATACTGTTTCCAGATTCAGAGTAAAGTGGTCAGGGTAGGGAGCAAGGAATAGCAGGTTTTTCTGTTGGGGAAATACTTTGTGTGTGTGGTGGGGGGCATGTTTCTGTAAGCCAGTATGCTAAGTTGTCCATTTTGGGCCTTCAATTCCCAGAATGCATCTGGCCCTAAAGGCCTATCAGGAGTTGCTGGCCACTGTGAATGAGATGGACATGTCCCCGGATGAGACTGTGAGGGAGAGCAGTCGTATCATCAAAAGTGAGGCCTGGCCTATTCTCTTTTTCCAGCATCCCTCCTCGTGTGTGTGTGTGTGTGTGTGTGTGTGTGTGTGTGTGGTGACAAGATCTCAGCATGTGTGTTTGTGTGTGTGTGTGTTGTGACAAGATCTCAGAATGTAGCCTAGGCTGGCATCCAACTGGTAATCCTCCTATCTCAGCCTCTGGAATGTTGGAATTACAGGCATGTGCCACCATATCCCTTCTCATTCTTCTCAATCCCAGCTTCATTCACCTTTTCATTTTCCAGGCTTCCCAGACCAATCCTTCCCTTCCTTTCTCTTCCTCACTCCTAGACAACATTTTCTATGTGATGGAATACCGAGAACTGTTCTTGACACTCTTTCGAAAGTTTGACGAGCGATGTCAGCCCCGCTCTTTCCTTCGTGACCTGGTGGAAACCACTCACCTCTTCCTCAAGATGTTGGAGCGGTTCTGTCGGAGCCGTGGGAACCTAGTGGTGCAGGTACTAGGCGGCCCCTAGTGTGGAAAGAGTTCTAGAGGAGGGTGAAGGACAGAGAGTTCTTTCTCCTCAGGTTTTCTGCAAGCTTAAGCTGATTTGTTAGAACTACTCTAAAAGTAACTACTAAGTAGTAACTTTGCCTAGTAACTAGGAAAAGATAGTTCTAACAGCATAATATGTATTTCTTATGATATTAAAAGGTCTGTGGTGGGGCTGGGAAGGTGGCTCAGTGGTAGAGCACTTGCCTTGCATGCTCGACCCTGAGTTCAATTCCTCAGCACCACATAAGAAAAAAGCCAGAAGTGGCGCTGTGGCTCAAGTGGTAGAGTGCTAGCCTTGAGCTGAAGAGCTGAGGGACAGCGCCTAGGCCCAGAGTTCAGGCCCCACGACTGGACCCAAAAAAATAAATAAATAAATAAAAGGTCTGTGGTATTGCCTATGTGAGTCTACCATAGTTTCCTTTTCCCATTAGATTAATTCATGAGCTGCTATAATTAATTCAGTAAACATTTAGTGAACATTTACAAGTACATAAGTCTTGAGCCATTCCTAGTTTTAAGAGTTCACAAATTATGCTGTAGTATTTCCTGGTATGTTTCAGAAATGTTATGGTCAAATGGAGAAAACCTGAAACTGAAAGTAAGGAAATTAGAGATCTAATCATGTTAGTTATTTGTTGGTTTTTTTTTTTTTTTGGGGGGGGAGGTCTGGTCGTGGGGCCTGAACTCTAGGCCTGGGCGCTGTCCCTCAGCTCTTCAGCTCAAGACAAGCACTCTACCACTTGAGCCACAGTGCCACTTCCAGTGGTTAATTGGAGATAAGAGTCTCACAGACTTTCTACCCAGGCTGGCTTTGAACTGTGATCCTCAGATCTCAGCCTCCTGAGTAGCTAAGATTACAGGTATGAACCACCAGAGCCCGGCTGAGCTTTGTCTTTTACCAAGATTTTTCATGTATCTTTCTTGATTCTTGAGTAAATCTCTTCTGTCTGGAGGCTTCTTAAGTTATTTCTGCTTTTTGGCAAACTCTCTTACTCTAGAAAATAGGCATTTTGTGCTCACTCGCATTAAAGCTATCATCTGCTTTGTGATGTAATTTCTTATTTACTTGTCTGTCTCTCCCACTAGAGTATAAGTTTCTCAGAAACAAGAAAATACACTGTTCAAGTCAGGTGGCTCACACCTATAATCCTAGCTACTCAGGAGGCTGTGATCTGAGGATCACAGTTCAAAGTAAGCCCAGTCAGGAAAATCTATGATACTCTCTTTTTTTTGTGGGTTGTGGGGTCTGAACTCTGGGCCTAGGCACTGTCCCCTCAGCTCTTCAGCTCAAGGCTAAGGCTCTTCTACTTGAGCCTCAGGCCCACTTCTGGCTTTTTCTGCTTATGTGGTGCTGAGGAATCGAATCCAGGGCCTCATGCATGCAAGGCAAGCACTCTACCACTGAGCCATCTTCGCAGCCCCAATAAACTTCCAAAAATTCAGAAATGGAGCTGTGGTAGCTCAAGTGGTAGAGCACTAGCCTTAGGCACAAAACCTCAGGGACAGCACTTAGGACCTGAGTTCAATCCCTAGGACTGGCATGTACACACACAGTAAAAAGATGGAAAAGCCGGGCACTGGTGGCTCACGCCTGTAATACTAGCTACTCAGGAGGCTGAGATCTGAGGATCGCCATTCAAAGCCAGCCCGGGCAGGAGAGACCGTGAGACTCCTATCTCCAATAAACCACCAGAAAACCAGAAGTGGCGCTGTAGCTCAAGTGGTAGAGCGCTCACCTTGAGCTGAAGAGCTGAGGGACAGCGCCCAGGCCCAGAGTTCAAGCAAGCCCCACAACCGACCAAAAAAAAAAAGATGGAAAAAAAGTGAAAGTACACTGTTTATGTTGCTTCCCATTGCTAAAGAGCAGTGCATAATGGGCACTGTGTAAATGACCATTTCATTAGTTTTATAATAGTAAAGACATGGATGCATAAAGACTTCCTCAGGGCTGGGAAGGTGGCTCAGTGGTAGAGCGCTTGCCTTGCATGCCTGAGGCCCTGGGTTTGATTCCTCAGCACCACATAAGCAAAAGGAAAAAAGCCGTAAGTGGCGCTGTGGCTCAAGTGGTAGAGCGCTAGCCTTGAGCTGAAGAGCTGAGGGACAGCACCCAGGCCCAGAGTTCAGGCCCCACAACCAGACCCCCCCCAAAAAAAAAAAGACTTCCTCAGTCTCCTACTATCCTTATACACTTCTTTCCCCATAGAACAAACGAAAGAAGAAAAAGAAGAAGAAGAAGTTTCTAGACCAAGCTTCTGGTAATGTCTCCCATAGTCCAGAGGAGCTAGAGGCCATGTGGCCAGCCCTTGCTGAGCAGCTGCAATGCTGCGCCCAGGTAGGTAGTTATGGAGCCCCCATCTTTTCCAAGGGTAGTGCTCTGGGTAGATGGTCTCCTCAACTCGCCTTGCCCATCTCTAGGATTCTGAGTTCAATGTAGAATCCCCAGTTCCCTTTGATGCGGCCTCAGAGGTGCCAGTGGAAGAGCAGCGGGCAGAAGCCATGGTGAGGATCCAAGACTGTCTCCTGGCTGGCCAGGCCCCACAGGCCCTGGCCCTCCTGAGGTCTGCCCGGTAAGCTTCCTGTCCACCCATCCTCCTGGTCTTTAAAGGCATGAGTAAGCCTTTTATGGTACAGGGTTCTCAGTCTGAAGGAGAGGGAAGTCCCATCAGAGCTCATACTGAGTACTGAGTCCATGAGATCTTTGATTAGCTAACTGAGTTTTTTCTATTTGAGAAATATCAGACATTGTTGGGGGGGAGGGGGGAGGCTGGGAAGGGATGTGAAGGGTAAACAAAGGAGGAGGCTGCAATGCTTGGTAAGAAATGTACGCATTATCCTGCCCATGTAATTGTAACCCCTCTGTACAGTATGTTCACAAATAAAATAAAATTAAAAAAAAAAAAAAGAAATATCAGACATTGGGAGGAAAAAATAAAGATAATTCTTTTTTTTTTTTTTTTTTGGTCTGGTCGTGGGGCCTGAACTCTGGGCCTGGGTGCTGTCCCTCAGCTCTTCAGCTCAAGGCTAGCGCTCTACCACTTGAGCCACAGCACCACTTCCGGCTTTTTTCTTTTAGCTTATGTGGTGCTGAGGAATCAAACTCAGGGCCTCAGGCATGCAAGGCAAGCGCTCTACCACTGAGCCACCTTCCCAGCCCCTAAAGATAATTCTACTAGCCAAAGATAACCATTGTTAACATTTTGTTGAGTAACCTTAAGTGTCTTGTTCTGTCATGTATATAATATATACAAGTGAAGGAGCTAGGCATGGTGATGAATGCCTATAATCACAACCCTCAACTTCTGAGACAGAAGGATCACTAGGCTACACAGTGATGATGATGATATTATTATTATTATTATTATTAGCCAGTCCTGGCACTTGAACTCAGGGTCTGGGCACTGTCCCTGAGCTTCTTTTGCTCAAGGCTAGCATTCTACCACTTGAATCACAGCACCACTTCCAGCTTTTTCTGTGTATGTGGTACTGAAGAATCAAACAGAGAGTTTCATGCATGCTAGGCAGGCACTCTACCACTAAGCCATATTCCTAACCCACAGTGATATTTTTTAAATCTAAGGGAACAGGGGGAAAGATATGTGCTGGTGGCTCACACCTGTAATCCTAGCTACTCAGGGTTTAAAGCCAGACTGGGCAGAAAAGTCTCCAAGACTCCATCTCCAATTAAGCAGCAAAAAAATCAGTCTGAAGGCATGTGATAGAATACCAGCTTTGATCCAGTAAGCTGACTATGTATGAGGCCCCTGAATTCAAGCCCTCTAGTGCCAGAAGAGAGAGAGAAATGAGGAAGGGAAAAAGGGGAAAGAAGGGAAGAAGGGAAGGTGAGAGAGAGGGAGGAAAAGGAGAAGGAAGGAAGGAAAATTGTGTATGCTGACTTTCAATATTGTTTTCAGAACATTTTACGAATACTTTCTTGGGACTGGGAAGGTGGCTCAGTGGTAGAGTGCTTGCCTTGCATGCTCAAGGCCCTGGGTTCGATTCCTCAGCACCACATAAGCAAAAAGAAAAAAGCCGGAAGTGGCGCTGTGGCTCAAGTGGTAGAGCGCTAGCCTTGAGCTGAAGAGTTGAGGGACAGCGCCTAGGCCCAGAGTTCAGGCCCCATGTCCGACCCAAAAAAAAAAGAATACTTTCTTGTCACCTATATTTTAATAATCATTAATGCCTCTCAGGCATTGTGTACATTTGATCAACTAAGTGTGACTGTTTAGGTTGTTTGCATTTTATTCTTAAATAGTTTTCATTGCAATGTGCCCTCTGAGGAAAAATTTTTCTGGTATTGTCGCATCCCTGCGGTAATAATAGTTTGCATTCTCTTTCTAGCTGAAAACTAAAATAGGTCTAAATTCCTTCTCCCATTTCTAATTGCAACTCAGATTTCCTATGGCTAAGGCTTTTGTTGTGTGTGTGCTCCAGGGAGGTATGGCCAGAAGGAGATGTGTTCGGCTCTCCAGACATTTCCCCGGAGGAGGAGGTGCAGTTGCTGAAACAAATCCTGTCTGCCCCACTTCCCCGTGAGTCTCCACTCCCACATTCCCACATATCTCCTCCCAGCTTTGCTTCAGCACGACCATCACAGAGACATAATGATCTCATTCTTCGTATAGGACAACAGGGCCCAGCTGAGGGAATTGCAGAAGAAGAAGAAGAAGAGGAGGAGGAGGCCGAGGAGGAGTTGCAGGTGGTTCAGGTTTCAGAGAAAGAGTTTAACTTTCTGGACTATCTGAAACGGTATGCACTGAGAAGTTAGTCCCAGGTGGCAGCTGTAAGGATGAACGTGGATCTGATGCTGACCTCCCCTCTCCTTCCTGTTTTGGTACAGTTATGCCTCCTCAACTATTGTGCGAGCCTATGTGCTTCTGCTGCGAAGCTACCAGCAGAATAGTGCCCACACTAACCACTGCATTGTCAAGATGTTGCACCGGCTCGCCTATGACCTCAAAATGGAAGCCCTTCTTTTCCAGCTTTCAATCTTTTGCCTCTTCAACCGTCTGCTTAATGACCCTGCTGCTGGAGCCTACAAAGTGAGAGGCTACCAAGGAATGGGGGGCTGTGTCTGTGGTGTGTGTGTGTGTGTGTGTGTGTGTGTGTGTGTGTGTGTGTGTGTGAACAATTTCAGGAAATAAAGGAGGCTAAGAGGTGTCGAGGACTGGGAGAGAAGACAAGAAAGTCAGCAGACAGGCTGAGGGAGCTGCATGGGGGTGGACAGAAGAGTCTAAGGGAGGAGAAGAAATAACTAGGGACAGGTCTGTGTATTCATTTGGACCAAGATATCCTCAGCCTCCCTCTCCTATAGGAGCTAGTGACTTTTGCCAAATATATCCTGGGCAAGTTCTTTGCATTGGCTGCAATCAACCAGAAAGCCTTTGTGGAGCTGTTATTCTGGAAGAACACAGCTGTGGTCCGAGAGATGACTGAGGGCTATGGCTCGCTGGACAGTGGGTGAGCTTGGGGATGGGGAAGGATGGGCAGAAGGGGAAAGGGGTAAAGCCGACTCACAAAGGACCAAAACTAGAAGAGCTTGTAGCTCATTCCATCTAATGTTTCTTCCCCTTTCAGTAGTAAAAAACAGGCCCAGAAAGGGAAGTGAATGCTTTACCTGAGGTTACCCCAAGAGAGGAGACTGGAGGCTATGTCTTCTATTTCTGCCATAGTTCCCTTCTCTGTCATTGGCCTTCACAGAGGTGGGAGTGGGGTGTCCCCCAGGGAGTCTGTAGGTTCCCTCTCAAACTATACTGGCAACCAAGCTGAATATGGTAGTATCACATGTAATCTCAGTATTCAGGAGGCTGAGGCAGAAGGATCAGGAGTTTAAAAAAAAAGTAAGAAACGAGAGGATTAGCCAGGCGCTGGTGGCTCACGCCTGTAATCCTAGCTACTCAGGAGGCTGAGATCTGAGGATCTCGGTTCAAAGCCAGCCCGGGCAGGAGAGACCGTGAGACTCCTATCTCCAATAAACCACCAGAAAACCAGAAGTGGCGCTGTAGCTCAAGTGGTAGAGCGCTCGCCTTGAGCTGAAGAGCTGAGGGACAGCGCCCAGGCCCAGAGTTCAAGCCCCACGACCGACAAAAAAAAAAAAAAGAAATGAGAGGATTCTTAGAAATGTGTGTCCTCCTTAATATGCAACTCCATCCCATTCCATTCACATTGCTCTTTTTTCCCATAGAACTCAGTCCTTGAAGGGACAAGTTCCATAGGCCCAAGCAGGAAAACCTTGTAGTTTGTAGTGTGTTCCTAAGTAGAAGGAGGGTGCAGGGAAGGTTTTACTAACTGGTTCCTTTGAGTTACCTGCCTCACCTTTCTTGCTCCTTTTAGAACTGATTGGCGGGGAGGAGGGGTTGGGAAGGTAGCTCAGTGGTAGAGTGCTTGCCTTGCATGCATGAGGCCCTGGGTTCGATTCCTCAGCACCACATATGCAGAAAAAGCCAGAAGTGGCCCTGTGGTTCAAGTGGTAGAGCTCTAGCCTTGAGCTGAAGAGCTTAGGGACAGCACCTGGGCCCAGAGTTCCTGCTCTATGACTGGATTAAAAAAAAAAAAAAGAATTGATTGGGGGCTAGGAAGCATGGCCACAAGCCTTGAAAGCATAAGATCCTGAGTTCAAACTCCAGTTCCACAAAAATTAAAAAGAGGAGAGAGGGCTGGGAAATTGGCTCAGTGGTAGAGCGCTTGCCTTGCATGCCTGAGGCCCTGGGTTCGATTCCTCAGCACCACATAAGCAAAAAAGAAAAAAACCCGGAAGTGGCGCTGTGACTCAAGTGGTAGAGTGCTAGCCTTGAGCTGAAGAGCTGAGGGACAGAGCCCAAGCCCAGAGTTCAGGTCCCACGACCAGATGCAAAAAAAGAAAAAAAAAGAGGAAAGAGAGAAAGAGGGGAAAAAAAGAATTGACAGAGTCTGGTGGCTCATGCCTGTAATCCTAGCTACTCCAGAGGCTAAAGTCTGAGAATTGGAGTTCTACACCAGCCTGAGTAAGAAAGTTCATAAGATTTTTCTCTCCAATTAACCACCAAAAAATTGGAAGTGACACTGTGGCTCAAAGTGGTAGAGTGCTAGCCTTGAACAAAAAGAGCTCAGGGACAGCACCCAGGCTCTGAGTTCAAGCTCCATGCCAACAACAACAACAACAAAAGAATTGATCATAGGGATGGGAAGTTGGCTCAGTAGAGTGCTTGCCTCACATGCATGAAACCCTGGGTTCAATTCCTCAGCACCACATAAGCAGAAAAAGCCAGAAGTGGTGCTATGGCTCAAGTGGCAGAGCGCTCACTTTGAGCTGAAGAGCTGAGGGACAGTGCCCAGGCCCAGAGTTCAGGCTCCATGACTGACAAAAAGAAAAAAAGAAGAATTGATCATAGAGGGCTTTTGGTTCCCTCTCAGGCTAGCCACCTACTCATTCCTCTTTCACCACTCAGGTCTTCTGGTCGCAGAGCCCCAGTGTGGAGTCCTGAGGAAGAGGCCCAGCTTCAGGAACTGTACCTGGCCCATAAGGACATGGAAGGTATGAGGCTGGAAGATCTGACAAGGTTCTGAGTTGGGCAGCCTGAGCTCCAGCTCTGTTCTTTACTTCTTCCCTCCCTTCCCACCCCAGGCCAAGATGTGGTGGAAATCATCTTGGCACACCTGAGAAGTACTCCTCGGACACGCAAGCAGGTCATCCACCATCTGGTACGCCTGGGGCTGGCTGACAGCGTGAAGGACTTCCAAAGGTAGAGGAGCAGGTTCTGGAAGTCATCGAGAGGGGAAATCCTCAGTTCCTTCCCTGGGCCTCCTTTTCCACTGACACCTCCCTAAATAGGAAAGGATCCCAGATTGTACTGTGGACAGAAGATCAGGAGCTGGAGCTGCAGCGGCTTTTTGAGGAGTTCCGGGACTCAGATGGTGAGTGAGAGGAAGCTCCGGGATCTGGGCCTGGGCGCTGTCCCTCAGCTCTTCAGCTCAAGGCTAGCACTCTACCACTTGAGCCACAGCACCACTTCCGGCTTTTTTCTTTTTGCTTATGTGGTGCTGAGGAATCAAACCCAGGGCCTCATGCATACAAGGCAAGCACTCTACCACTGAGCCACCTTCCCAGCCCCTCTACTGTTTATTCTTAATGAAACTTCTCCATCCCTTCTGCCACTTCTTATAGTTGTAAGGTCATTTTGGGGGTGGATTGAGCTGTTTTTTTCCTTTGGCAGTACTAGAGTTTGAACATAGGGTCTTGTGCTTGCTAGGCAGACACTCTTATCTATCACTTGAGCCATGCCTCCAGGAGCTAGCCTCTTTTTTTTTTTTTGGTGCTAATTCTGGGGCTTGAACTCAGAGCCTGGGTGTACTGTCCCATAGTTTTTTAAAAAATATATTTTTAATTTAAAAAAATTTAATATATATTTTTTATTGTTAAGATACTGTACAAAGGGGTTATAGTTACCTGAATAAGGTAATGAGTATACTTCCTATTGAGCTTTTTTTTGGTCATGGGACTTGGGCTTGGGCCTGAGCATTATCCTTGATCTTTTTCACTCAAGGCTAGTGCTGTACCACTTTGAGTCACAGTGCCACTTCCTATTTTCTGGTGGTTCATTGGAGATAAGAGTTTCATGGACTTTCCTGCCCAGGCTGGCTTTGAACCTTAATCCTCAGATCTCAGCCTCCTGAGCAGCTAGGATTACAGGCATGAGCCATTGGTGCCTGGCATGAACTAACTTCTTTCCAAACACATGGGATTTCATCCTTTCTCTTGTTGCTCTTGAATATTCATATGCTACCTTCCCATAGATGTGCTTGGTTATATCATGAAGAATATCACAGCCAAACGTTCACGGGCCCGAATAGTGGATAAACTGCTAGCACTGGGGTTGGTGACTAAGCGGCAGGAGCTATACAAGAAACGGAGGAAGAAGCTGGCACCCTCAAGCCTGGTAACCACCTTGCCCTGGCCTGGTCAGCCTGGGCCCACCCCCTGTGAAATGCTCCTTAGGAGGAGACCACCCACCCAAATTCTTCTTGTCTCAGGCTGTTTTGATTAAGTCTCTCCAGGGGGGTGATCAGTAACTAGAAGTCTCCACTAAGTATCCCTTGTGGCCTCTCTTCTCATCCTCTTGTCCCCCAATGAATTTTAGCCTAATGGGGAACAGTCCGTGAAAGATTTTTGGCAGGAAGATCTGGAAGAAGAAGAAGAAGAAAACTTGCCAGAAGAAGAGAACGAAGAAGATGGAGAGAAAGAGGAGGGTTTGGAAGCAGAATATGCCCAGGGTAGCTTGTTTCTTTCAACTGAAAACCTTGGCCAAGGCCTAAATGAGGAAGGTGAGGACTGAAGTCGAGAGAGGGTTCTTAGGTAGAAGGTTGAAATGGGAGTAAGGGCCAACTCTGTTTGCATTTTCCCTTTAGGCTTTTCTGCTCCACTCTTGTGGCTCCAGAACTGCCTGCTGAGAGCAGCAGATGATCGGGAAGAGGACGGTAGGTAAACAGAGGATGGTGTTAGGAGCACTGGAGGCCACTAGACCTGGTTGTGGGATTGAGGAGCAGTTCTTTCTTTTCCTCTTTCCACATGACTCTTGATCTTGTACTAGGCTGCTCCCAGGCTATTCCATTGGTGCCACTGACGGAAGAAAATGAGGAAGCAATGGAAAATGAACAGTTTCAGCAGCTGCTGCGCAAACTAAAGATTCGGCCCCCCACCTCCGGACAGGCAAGTACAGCCATCGCCATGTCGACCAGTGCTTGTTGGTCCAGTCAAATACCTCTTCATTGCTATTGCCCTCTGTCATTCCTGTTGCCTTGTCATGACTGGCCAAGATACATCCACAAACCATCTTGCCATCTTCCTCTCTAATCTCCCCTTCCCTGAATCCATGTTCCACACTGCCCCCAAATTTACCCTTCTGAAATAGTTTCAGTGATATCACGCCCCTGTGCAGAGCACTTGCTGGTTTCTCACTAGTTGCAGGACACAGTCCACAATCTCCAAATGGAAGTTCCATGACCATTCCACTCACACTCCTGCTTTCCACCTGTCATCTGCAACTACTTTCCACCCTCCAGTGCTAGGCCCTTTCATGCCTTTTCCTCTATTGGAATGCACACAGACCTGCATGCATGCACACCCTCCCTGCACCCATCTTCCTGTTGAATTTCAAGCCTGCCCTTGAGAATCAGATCTATTGTCACTTCCTCAAAGAAGTTGTCCCTATTAACCTTTCAACTTCTGAAGCAAAAGTGGCCACTTTGACAGCTGAAATTCGTTCATTCACTTCATTCAGCCCAATTCCATGGTATGACTGAACTTTCAATCTTTCTACTATTGGTTGTGAGTTCCTTGAGAGTAAGGATCATAACTGGTTCACCCTGAGGTCCCCAGGATCTATTCATTTATTTAGTTAGTTAACAAGTCTATTTATTAGGAATCTCATAATAGTAGGCATGGTGATAAACACTGGTCATATTTTATTTTATTTCTTTCTCTTTCTTTCTTTTCTTTTTCTTTCTTTCTTTCTTTTTTTTTTTTTTGCCAATCCTGGGGCATGAACTCAGAGTCTGGGCACTGTCCCTGAGCTTCTTTTGCTCAGTGCTAGCACTCTACCATTTGAACCACAGCACCATTTCCAGCTTTTTCTGTTTATATGGTACTGAGGAATCGAAGCCAGGGCTTCCTGCATGCTAGGCAAGCACTCTACTACTAAGCCACATTCCCAGCCCATTGGTCATATTTTATAAACAATAAGTAGAGTTCACAACTCTTGAGGATCTTCACCACTGTAGGGTCATCTTTATCCAATAAAAATATATAAATGTTGGAGATTTAACTCAGTAGAAGAGCACTTGTGGCAAGTTTGGTCCTCTGCTCTGGAAAAAATATATAGGATATGTTTATATCCTACATTTATATGAACAGTGTAAAAAGCTGATGAACAATGAGCATTCATTGTCATTTTTCTCTGCTGTGTTCTTCTAGGAAACCTTCTGGCGAATTCCAGCCAAGCTTAGCCCCACCCAGCTCCGGAGAATGGCAGCTTCTTTGAGTCAATCAACGGAGGCAGAAGAGAAGCTACCATCAGAGCTAGAGCCAAGAGTCCCTGGAGAGCAGGGTCCCAGGGAGGAGCACCAAGCAGAAACCTCCAGTACCCTCTCATTAGCCTATAAAAACAGAGCAGGCCTCGTATCCTCAGACGGTAAAGAGCAAATGCTCATCTAAGCATATTCCCTGAATTCTACTTACTTTGTGCTGTCTAGGTTGGGCCAGAGGGTATTTTGAGACTATGCAGACCCAGTTTCCTAATTTTGACCCAGTGATTTTGTGGTCACTTCAGAGGAGGAGACTGCTGATGATAAAGAGCAAGGGAAGGTGGCGCCCAAGAAGCGGCAACTGCTGGACAGCGATGAGGAAGACGAGGGCAGCAGCAAAAGTAGGGAGTCTTAATGGGACCTACTTTTTCTTTTACTCTGTCTTTAATTTAGAGACAGACTCTACCATCTGCCTTACCTTTAACCTACTTAGATTTCATTCTCTCTCTCTCTTTCTTTTTCTGCCTTACTCTTGTTCCTGTAGAGCCCAAGCTGGGATCTCCAGTAATCTACAGGAAGAAACGGTTTCAGATTGAGGATGAAGATGAAGACGAGTGATAAGCCCGAAGCCTAGGGGTGGAGATAGATTTGTTTTAGGTTGGTGAATTTAAATCAGTTGGGAAAGTCAGAGAACCTTCTCTGATTGAATTGGAAGCAGTAGAGTCCTGGGCTCTTCCCTAGATCTAGGGCCCAGGAACTACAGACAACAGTGCTGATGGACTTGTCTATAGTCAGTCCTTGCTTTTCCCAGTCTTAAGCAGTATGCCCCAGATGCAATCTGTGAGTGACCCATAGGCCCCTTGTTGGTCTGCTCCTTGGGCTTTCTGCTGGAGGTGGGTCACACTTCCGGAGAGTATTGTAATATAATATATGGGGATTCCTCATTACTTTCAGAAAGCACTACATTCCCTTATCCTCCTTTTCTTTCCAGTGATCATCCCCAGGACAGAAGATTGAGCCGAGCATGCATGAAGCCCTGGGTTCAATTCCTCAGTACCACATAAACAGAAAAAGCCAGAAGTGGTGCTGTGGCTCAGGTAGTAGAATGCTAGCCTTGAGCAAAAGACACTCAGGGACAGTGCCCAGACCCTGAGTTCAAACACCAGGACTGGCAAAAATAAATAAAATAAAATGTTAAAGAGACAGTCAGATTTTCTTTTTTCTGTTTCCCCTCTTTCCTAGAAATATAAATAGAATCACCATGTAGGCTGGCCCAGGCAAAACAGTGAGACCCTTTCTAAAAAGTAACCAGACCAAAAAGAGCTGGAGGCATGCATGGCTCAAGTGGAGAGAGCCTGCCTGTCAGGTAAAGGGCCTGGCATTCAGGCCCCAGAATCTCAAAAAATTAAAATAAAAAATCCCAGCTACTTGAATGTAGAGGAAGGAGGATCACAGGTTGGAAAAAAGTATACAAGAGTAATACCTGCATATCCATATATATTGTAACTCTGCTCAAAATTGCCAATTGGTAGAATCAGCCAACATGCTGAACAACTGGTGAATAGATAAAGTATATTCTCTCTCTCTCTCTCTCTCTCTCTCCCCCTCTCTCCTCATACACACACACACATACCATAAAAAAATAAAACCTAGGGGGCTGGGAATGTGGCTCAGTGGTAGAGCGCTTGCCTTGCATGCATGAGGCTCTGGGTTCAATTCCTCAGCACCACATAAGCAAAAAGAAAAAAGCCGGAAGTGGCAGTGTGGCTCAAGTGGTAGAGCGCTAGCCTTGAGCTGAAGAGCTGAGGGACAGCACCCAGGCCCAGAGTTCAGGCCCCACAACCAGACCCAAAAAATAAATAAATAAATAAATAAATAAAAACTCGGGGATGGGAAGGTGGCTCAGTGGTAGAGCGCTTGCCTTGCATGCCTGAAGCCCTGGGTTCGATTCCTCAGCACCACATAAGCAGGAAAAAAAAAAAAAGCCGGAAGTGGTGCTGTGGCTTAAGTGGTAGCGTGCTAGCCCTGAGCTGAAGAGCTGAGGGACAGCTCCCGGGCCCAGAGTTCAGGTCCCATGACCGGACCCCAAAAATAAATAAATAAATAATAAAAACTATAGCTGGGCATAAGTGGCTCACACCTTTAAACCTAGTTCTTAGGAGGCTTCCATTCAGGCCAAAAAGTTTGTGAGACCATCTTCAAAATAATCAGCAAGGGGCAGGGCTGCAGATGTGCTCAAGTGGTTGAGTAACAGCAGAGTTCAAAGCCTATGTAGTACTCTGAGTTCACCCTAGTGCACACACACACACAAAAGGTGAAAATTATATTATTTGCAAGAAAATACATGGACTTAGAAATCATGATGTTGAATGAGATAAACCAAGCTCATTAAGCGACAGATAGCATGTTCTCATTTGCATAATCAAAATTTAAAAGATGTACAAAACTGGGCACTGGTAGCTCATGCCTGTAACCCAGCTACTCAGGAGGCTGAGGACTGAGGATCATGGTTCAAAGCCAGCCTGGTCAAGAAAGTCCATGAGACTTTTATCTCCAATAAACTACTCAGAACTGGTGCTGTGGCTCAAATGATAGAGCACTAGCCTTGAGCACAGATTGGCTCAGGGACACAGCCCATGCCCTGAGTTCAAGCCCCAGCACAAGCAGAAAAAAAAAAAAAAAGATACGTGTGTGTGTGTATGTATGTAAAATATCAATGCAACTATAGGACTTAGGAGAAAGGGAAGGGGGAAATGAAGGACAAATGATACTGTGATACATTGTATCTGATCACTGTCCATTAGCTTTTTCACTCAAAACTGCACTCTATCCCTTGAGCCACGCCTCCACATCCAGGATTTTGGTGGTTAGTGGAGGTAAGAGTCTCACAGATGTGTCTGCCTGAGCTGGTCTTGAACCTTCATCCTCCGAGCTCAGCCTCTTGAGTAGTTAGGCTTACAGGTATGAGCCACTGGTGACTACTTTGGTTTTATTTATTTTTTATTTTTAAGAAAGGAACTTTTTTTTTTTAATTGGTCGGTTGTGGGGCTTGAACTCTGGGCTTGGGCACTTTCCCTGTGCTCTTCAGCTAAAGGCAAGTGCTCAACTGCTTGAGCTATTGCACCACTTCCTAGCTTTGGTTTTAACTCCCTTGGTGGTTACGTGCTGTTTTTGGAGAGTAAGGAGTGAAAATAGGAGCAGCATCCTTGAACCCCTTCATTGCCTGTTTCCTTATTTGTCAGGGAGCTGAGATCTGAAGACTAAGGTTCAAGGCCAGCCTTGGCAAAGTTCATGAGACTTATTTCCAATCAACCACCCAAAAAGCCAGAAGTGGAGCTGTAGCTCAAGTGTACAACACTAGCTTTGAGTTACACAGCTTAGGGACAGTGCCCAGGGCCTGAGTTAAAGCCCCTAGACCAGCCCTACCCCCCCCCCGCCCCCCAAGAAGAAATCTTGCCAGGTACCAGTGGCTCACGCCTGTAATCTTAGCTACTTAGGATGCTGAGATCTGAGGATCATGGTCCAAATCCAGCCCGGGCAGAGAAGTCCATGAGAATCTTATCTCCAATTAACCACCAGAAAACCAGAAGTGGTGCTATGGTTCAAGTGGTAGAACACTTGAGCTAAAGAGCTCAGGGACAGTGCCCAGGCCCAGAGTTCAAGATCCATGACCAACAACAACAACAAAAAATCTCACTTCCTCTTTTTAGGTTTTGGTTTTTTATTTACTTTTTAATTATTGTAGTGAAGAGTCAGGTGTGGTGGTATAAGCCAGTAATCCCAGCACTCCAGAGGCTAGAGACCAGCCTGAGCTACATAGTGAGGCCATGTGTCAAAACAAAACAAAAAACTATGGTAAGAATATAAAAAGTGTTGGGTGGCAGTGGCCCACAGCTGTAATCCTGGCTCTTCAGGAGGCTGAGATCTGATGATCATGGTTCCAAGCCAGCCCAATAAGAAATGTCCATGAGGGGCTGGGAAGGTGGCTCAGTGGCGCTGTGGCTCAAGTGGTAGAGTGCTAGCCTTGAGCTGAAGAGCTGAGGGACAGCGCCCAGGCCCAGAGTTCAGGCCCACGACTGGACCCAAAAAAAAAAAAAAAAGAAATGTCCATGAGACTTATCTCCAATTAACCAGTAAAAAGCTGGAATTGGAGGTGTGGTTCAAATAGTACAGTGCCAGACTTATTGAATGAGAGAGCGAAAGGATGCTGTCCAGGCCCTGAATTCAATTCCCAGTACCAGCACAAAAGAAAAGAAAGAAGGAAGGGAGGAAGAAAGAAAAGAAAAAACAGAAGGAAGAAAGGAATAAGGAAGAAAGGATGGAAGAAGGGAAAGAAAGAAGGCAAAAGAACATGGGGCAAACTGGGTCCTAGTAGCTCACACCTACAATTCTAGCTATTCAGTTGGCTGAGATCAGAGGATCACAGTTCAAAGCCAGCCCAGCCAGCAAAGTTTTTGAGATTCTTATCTCTAATCAATTACCCAAAAGCTGGAAGTGGAGCTGTGGCTCAAGTGTTAGAGCAAGTGGTAGAGTCCCAACATTGAACACAAAAGCTCAGGGACAGAGTTCAGACTCTGAATTCAAGCACTAGGATCTCTCTCTCTCTCTCTCTCTCTCTCTCTCTCTCTCTCTCTCTCTCTCTCTCTCTCTCACACACACACACACACACACACACACACACACACAGCACCTAGCACTAGTGGCTCATGGCTGTAATCCTAGCTACTAAGGAGGATGAGATCTGAGGATCGAAGTTCAAAGCCAGACCAGGCAAGAAAGTCCGTGAGAGTCTTATCTCCAAATAACCACCCCCAAACCAGAAGTGGAGCTTGACTCAAAATGGTAGAGTTCTAACCTTGAGTAAAAGAGCTCTGGGACAAGACCAGGACCTGAGTTCAAGCCCCAGGACTGACAAGGAGAAAATGAGGGGGGGAGGGGGAAGGAAAGAAAATGAGATAAATTGAGCAAAGAGAAAAGAAAGAAAGAAAAAAAGGCCAGTTTCTTAGCACAGGACAAAGGTGACAAGGGCAAAGTCTGGTTCAAAAAGAGTAAATATTTGCAAGTGCTATATCCTTATATTTGGGGAGGAAAATCAGCTTACTGGTTTCCCAGTAATTTTGGTAAGGGTAAGAGAGAAGGTGGGATTATATAACAATAGTTGGGACTGGTGCCATGCTCACAACTGCAATGCTAACTACTTGCAACTCAGAGATTGGGAGAAGCAAGGTTTGAGGCCAGCCTGGCACAAAGTAAAATACCATTTCAACCAATAAGTTGAGCATGGTGATATATATCTGTCATCCCAGCTACACAAAAGGAAGAGAGCAAGCTACTCAGGAGGGTGAGATCTGAGGATCTCGATTCAAAGCCAGCCCAGGCAGAAAAATCCCCTGTGAGACTCTTATCTCCAATTAACCACTCAAAAACCAGAAGTGGCACTGTGGCTCAAGTAGTCGAGTGCTAGCCTTGAGTGCAAAAAGGCTCAGGGACAGGGCCCAGGCCCTCAGTTCAGGCCCTCAGTTCAAGCCATACAATTGACAAAAAAAAAGGGGGTGGAGGGAGAACACAGAATCACAGCCTGATCTTGAACTCAACATCTCCTTTTTAGTTCCGGGACTACAAAATGCTAACTTAATTTTTTAATTGAAAAGAGCACTAGTTGGCTCACACCTGAAATCCTAGCTACTTAGGAGGCTGAGATCTGAAGACTGAGCTGACAAGTCTTTAAGACTTTTACCTCCAATTAACCAGAGGGAAAAAAAGCCAGAAATAGAGGTGTGACTCAGTGGTAAAGTGCCAATCTTGAACAAAAAAGCTAAAGAATAGGCACTGGATTATGCCTGTAATCCTAGATACTCAGGAAGCTGAGATCTGAGGATCAGTGGCTCTAAGCTAGCCCAGGCAGGAAAGTCCATGAGACTGTCATCTACAGTTAACCGTCTAAAAACCAGAAGAAGTGCAGCGGTGGCTCACAGTGGTAAAGTGCTGGCCTTAAGCAAAAAAGCTCAGGGACATTGCTCCAGCCCTGAGTTCAAGCCCATGATGGATTTTTTTTTTTTTTAAAGAAAGAAGCTAAAAGACAGTGCTTTGACCCTGAGTGCAAGCACCAGTACCAGCACAAAATCAATAAATTGATGAGAAATAAAATGAGAGAATCATAAACATGTAATCCAATTCTGAATTTCTCTGGTTCCTATCATGCACATTGAGGGGATTGGAGCAAGAATATATAGAAAATCTCAAAAGTCAAGGTCTTCGGTATTGAGGTTAAATGTCTGACAAGAGGACAAGGTTTGAGCAACCAATCAAATATTTGCAGAACCAGTGTCCTTTACTGGACACAGAAAGCAAGTGTCTCTTTTCCTCATGAGAGAGACCTGGACACAACAGGATTGAGGAGCAACCCAACCTATCAAAGCAGCTCACTTCTCTATGACTGGACTTTGTGGTAAATTGGGGGGCCCAATAAATGAGAGGAAAGGAAACTGAGGAAGTCCCTGTGACCTGAAAATAGGCGAGACCAAGTGGGAGCAGTTGGGTTTTCTGTTTTCAAATCCTTTAACTAAAAAGCTGGGTTCTGGTAGCCACAAACCTGTGATCCTACCTACTTAGGAGGCTAAGATCTAAGGATCATGATTCATAGCCAGCCCAGACAAGAAAGTCTGTGAGACTCTTATCTTCAATAAATTAATCAGAAAAAGCCAGAAGTGGTGCTGTGGCTCAAGTACTTGAGCCTTTGCTCAGGGACAGTGCCCAAGCCCAGAGTTCAAGCCTCAGGACTGGCAAAAAGAGAGAGAGAGAGAGAGGAAGGAAGGAAGGAAGGAAAGAAAGAAAGAAAGAAAGAAAATTCTTTCATGCGATTGTTTCTAACACAATTATAAGATGATTTCTTTGTTGCTTTGTATGTCCCTCCCCCACGGTATAACCCCTGCTTTCACTGTATTTGATGTTGTTATAATTTGTGGAGGGGAAGGGAAAAAAACAAATTGTTTAAATAGGGATACAGGTGGACCCATTGCAACAATGAAACATACAAGTTCTTATGTCAAAAAACGAACTTTACAACTTTGGTGGGGGCGGGGGGGGGGGGAGGAGGATTGGGGGGGCGGGGGGGGGGGGAGGATGGGATGGGAAGGGGAAACAAAGGAGGAGGCTACAATGCTTGATGAGAAATGTACTCATTGTCTTGCCCATGTAATTGTAACCCCTCTGTACAGTATTTTCACAATAAAAAGAGATAAATAAAAAATAAAAAGAAAGAAAGAGAAAGAAAGAAAAGAGATAGAGCACCAACCTTGAGTGAAAAGCTACGGCACGGCACAATGCCCTGTACTGCCCACCACCACCACCACCCCCCCAAAAAAAAAAACTTGGAAGTAGGTGATGGATGAGGTATCCCCTATCTGAGTCTTAGACTCCTTTCAAACTACATCCCTTAGAAAAATAGTTCACAGGACTGAGAATGTGGTTCAGTGGTAGAGCACTTGCCTAGCATGCATGAATCCCTGGGTTCAATTCCTCAGTACCAAACAAACAGAAAAAGCAGGAAGTGGCACTGTGGCTCAAGTGGTAGAGTGCTAGCCTTAAACAAAAGAAGCTCAGAGACAGTGCCCAGGCCCTGAGTTCAAGCCCCAGGACTGGCAAAGAAAGAAAAAGAAAAATAGTTCACATGTTTGGGGTTCTCTCCTTTCTAGGGTACTTTGCTCCAGCCATGCCTAGCAGCAAACTTGTCACAACAGCAATTGAGCTGCTTCTTTGCTGTCTCCTGCTGTCTCCTGTGGATGCCATTTCAGAGAGAAAGCAGGCAAATGTCTCCAAAGTGTACCTTCCTTCATCTTTAGGACCTCAACTGCCCTCCTCAGACTCCTTATCCTGCCAGACCCTGCACCCAAAGTCCCTGCCTGGCTTCAACTACATGACCCCTCTACCCAAGTTTCTGGTAGGCCTGGCTCTAAGAAATGCCCTGGAAGAAGTTGGCTGTCACTCTGATGCTTGGGCCCTGCAGCTTCAGCTCTTCCGCTTGGGAGGTGTGAATGCTACACAGATCCTCATCCAGCATCTTCAAGGACTCCAGAAAGGCAATAGGACAAAGAAAGAAGTCTCAGTAGAAGCCCTGGCCTCTGCTCTGCAGCTGTTAGCCAGGGATCAGCCAAACCCAAAGAGGACTCCGCGCTCCATCCCCACGGTGGACTGTGGCAATGATCAGGAACAGAGAGTGTACAATTACCTCCAACAGTTGCCAGGAGTGGGAACCTACTACAACTTGGGCACAGCTGTGTATTATGCTGTTCAGAATTGCTCTGAAAAGGCCAAGGAACGGGGCAAAGAGGGGGCTATAGATCTGGGCTATGACCTTCTGATGTACATGGCAGGAGCATCAGCAGGGCCTGCTGGCATAGTCATCAGTGCTGCACTTAAACCAGCTTTGAAGGCTGGAGTTCACAAGCTGATTGAGTATTACCATGCAAAAACAGAGGTAAACACCCCTTGCAAGGAGGGCTTAAGAAGTACATCAGATGTGAGTGACTGGGAATATACAATTACCATGGCTCCATTGATAGAAGTAGTAAGTTCACCTCCCTCCTGGGGCTGGGCCTTATTCAAAAGCATTGGTTTGGATTTTGGGGCTGGGAGTCTTGGGGTATAAAAGATGGTAACCAAAGAGGAATAAATAAAATATTCTGACAAGCTGCATCTGGTGTACTCAAAATCCAAAACTGTGATCCAAATTTCTGATTGATTTATATTTGTTATCCAAGAAAAAGGCATTGCTATAAAATGTAGGAATTTAAAATGTTGGGATTTTGGAGTTAGAAGCTTTTTTTTTTTTTTTTTTTAATTCCAGGCTCCACTGAGTGCCTCACTAGTATTATTTTTCTTAAGCTCCAAGTTTAAATTTCTAACGTGGGGCCGGGCTCCTGTGGCTCAAGCCTGTAATCCTAGCCACTCAGGTGATTGAGATCTGAGTATTGAGGTTAGACGCCAGACCAGGCAGGAAAGTCTCAGACTCTTATTTCCAATTAGGCAGCAAAAAGGCGAAAGAGGAGCTGTGGCTCAAGTGGTAGAGAACCAACTTGAGTGAAACCGCTCAAGAATAGTGTCCAGGCCCTGAGTTCAAGCGCACGTGCACACACACACAAATACATTTTAAGTGGAAATGGTCATTTTCATCTGAACGAGTGGTCGTAGAAATTAAAAACGATACTATAAATCTAAAGTATTAATAATTACTGTTTTTTTAAATTATTTCAGCCTTCCCCTTCCGATCCCAGAGTATCGAAATTCCGGCCCCACCCCTTCCCACCTCCGTCCCCAAATCAGTTTCGTTTCTGAGGCTCGGTTTAAGATTCTCGAAAATGAGCTGTGTGGCTCCTGGGCTAATTATTAATTAGGTCCCGCCCCTAGAAAGTAAAGGGAAGGAAGTAAATGAGATTTCTGACCAATCACTGGAGTGGAAGGTGTGTCTTGGAGGCAATTTGTCCCGCCCCGCGTAGAAGTGGAGTTGTGGCGGCGCCAATGAGCGTGCAGCACGGTGGTAGGCGGGGCCGAGCGTAGGCTGAGCTGTGTTGTGCTGGGTGGGAACGCGGAGCTCGGGTTTGTGGCTGCGGTCTCTAGCCACCTTCGCGAGTTTTGGGGGCTGGCAGACGTCCTGACCCTGGTACCTGAGCTCCCTTTGAGGACTGTAAGTCACGACCTGAGCCACTGTGGGGATCGGATACTGCGGCCCTAATAAGGTACGGGTGCTCAGAGGGTGAGCGGGATGCGAGGTTTTCCCTGGGTGGGAAGTGCGGCTGAACCCGGGGTTACCCCGGAGGAAACAACTTCGGCCCTCTGAAATGAAGCTGTTGCCAGCCAATTGCAGGATTTTCCTCCCTGTTCAATCCGGCTATCGCAATCCTAATGCCCACTCCCCTCCCAGACCTCCCTTGCAGCCTCCGAGAACCAGAACCTGGCATTCTTGCAATAATTTCATGTCTTAGCCAAAGTTTTTGCTTCTGCTCTGTCGTCATCATCATTATCATTCTCTGTTTTGGGGGTTTAGACTCAGGGTCTCCAGTGCTTATCCATTTTGAGCCACACCCCCAGACCGCTAAGTTATTTTTGATCCTTAACTAAAAAACAAGCTACATACAAAGATTGACGTGATAAATTATATAAACTGTAAAGGAACTGAAGGGGAAACTATTTGCTAAGGTTACATAAAAATCGAATTCATTTCTGGCGGATGCCGCTTGTTCACATCTGTAATTCTAACTACTCAAGAGGTTGAGATCTAAGGTCCTAGTTGGAAGCCAGGCCTGGGAATGTCCGTGAGACTCTTATCTCCAATCAAAAACCAAAAAGCCGGAAGTGAAGCTTTGGCTCTAATGGTAGAGCGCTAGCCTTCCACAAAAAAAAGTTCAGGGGGCTGGGAAGGTGGCTCAGTGGTAGAGCGCTTGCCTTGCATGCTCAAGGCCCTGGGTTCGATTCCTCAGCACCACATAAGCAAAAAAAAAAAGCCAGAAGTGGTGCTGTGGCTCAAGTGGTAGAGCGCTAGCCTTGAGCTGAAGAGCTGAGGGACAGTGCCCAGGCCCAGAGTTCAGGCCCCACGACTGGACCAAAAAAAAAAAAAAAAAAAGTTCAGGCCCAGATTTCAAGTCCCCAGACACACAGACACACACATAGATACATAGATACACACACACATACACACTTTTAGTTCGTTTCTGAAAAGTTTATTCAATGCAAAACATGTGCCTGAGAGAGTGAAAAATGACTGGAGAAACAGGTTGAAGGTGCTCAGTGTGTTCTCCATTTGGGAAGAATAGTGTTTTTGTTTTGCTGTTGTTTTCATATTTTAATACCATAATTTATATGCTCCCTCGCTTCTTTAACACCAACCATTTAATTCCACAAAAATTAAGCAGGAAGCCCTGTGCTGGAGGCTCATACTTGTAAGCCCAGCCACTCAGGAAGCCGAAATCTGAAGACTGCACTTTGAAGACAGCCTGAGTGGACAAATCTTAGAGACGTTTATCTCCAGTTAACCAGCAAAAAGCCAGAAGTGGAGCAGTGGCTCAAGTGGCGCGCCGCGCGCGCACACACACACACACACACACACACACACACACACACACACAAATTAAATGGGATTTTGCCACTTAAAAAATATTTCATTGAGGATGGGAAGGAGAAACAAAGGAGGAGGCTACAATGCTTGATAAGAAATATACTCATTATCTTGCCCATGTAATTGTAACCCCTCTGTACAGTATGTTCACAATAAAAAATAAATAAAAATTAAAAAAAAATTTCATTGAGGGGCTGGGAAGGTGGCTCAGTGGTAGAGCACTTGCCTTGCATGCATGAGGCCTTGAGTTCGATTCCTCAGCACCACATAAGCAAAAAGAAAAAAAAAACGGAAGTGGCGCTGTGGCTCAAGTGGTAGAGCGCTAGCCTTGAGCTGAAGAGGTGAGGGACAGTGCCCAGGCCCAGAGTTCAGGCCCCACGACCGGACCCCCCCCAAAAAAAATTTTTTCATTGAGCCAGGTGTTGGTGCTCACGTCTATAATCCTAGCTACTCAGGAGCTGAGATCTGAGGATCATGATTCAAAGCCAGCTGGGGCAGTAAAGTCTGTGAGACTCTTATCTCCAATAAACCACTAGAAAACTGGAAGTGGCACTGTGGCTCAAGTGGTAGAAAGCTCGTCTTGAGCTGAAGAGCACAGGGACAGAGCCCAAGCCCAGAGTTCAAGCCCCACAACTGACAAAAAAAAAAAAAAAAAAAATCATTGTGGGCCGGGAAGGTGGCTCAGTGATAGAGTGCTTGCCTAGCATGCATGAAACCCTGGGTTTGATTTCTTAGTACCACATACACAGAAGAAGCCAAAGTGGCTCTGTGGCTCAAGAGGTAGAATGCTAGCCTTGAGCAAAAGAAGCTCAGGGACAGCAATCATACCCTGAGTTCAAACCCCAGGACTGGCAAAACAAAACAAAAAACATTTCATTGTTGAATAGTTATTGAGGTTACAATTCCATGTTAGATTATGAGTATAAGTCATCTTGAGCTGTGTCATTCTTTCCATCAGTCCCCTTACTTTCCTTTCCCATCCCTACCCTTACAGTTTTCTGGTTGGCTATAAGAGTTTCTTGGACTTTCCTGCCCAGGCTGGCTTTGAACTGTGATCCTCTGATCTCAGGCTAGGATTATAGGCATGAGCCACCAGCGCCCAGCTTGTTTTGTTCCTTAAAAGAATTACAGGTGGGGCTGGGAAGGTGGCTCAGTGGTAGAGCACTTGCCTTGCATGCATGAGGCCCTGGGTTCGATTCCTCAGCACCACATAAGCAAAAAGAAAAAGGCCAGAAGTGGTGCTGTGGCTCAAGTGGTAGCGCGTTAGCCTTGAGCTGAAGAGCTGAGGGACAGCACGTAGGCCCAGAGTTCAGGCACCACGACCAGACACCCCCCCCCCCCCCCCGAAAAGAAAAAAGAAAAGAAGAGAATTACAGGCATTTAGTTTTAAAAGATCAAGCATGAGCCTGGCGACGGTGGCTCACACCTGTAATCCTAGCTACTCAGGAGGCTGAGATCTGAGGATTGAGGTTCAAAGCCAGCCTGGGCAGGAAAGTCCATGAAACTTTTATCTCCAATAAACCACCAGAAAACCAGAAGTGGTGCTGTAGCTCAAGTGGTAGAACGCTCACCTTGAGCTGAAGAGTTGAGGGACTGCGCTCAGGCCCAGAGTTCAAGCCCCATGATCAACCAAAAAAAAAAAGAAAAGATCAAGCATGGCAGGCTGGGAATATAGCTTACTAGAAGAATGCTTGCTTAGCATACATGAAGCTCTGAGTCTGGGTTCAATTCCTCAGTACTACATAAACAGAAAAAGTTGGAAGTGGTGCTATGGCTCAAGGGGTAGAGGACTAGCCTTGAGCACAGAGGGGTTCAGGGATAGTGCGCAATCCCTGAATTCAAGCCCAGGACTAGCCAAAAAAAAAAAAAGGGCTGGAAATGTGGCTCAGTGGTAGAGCGCTTGCCTTGCATGCATGAGGCCCTGGGTTCGATTCCTCAGTACCACATAAGCAAAAATAAAAAAAAAAGCCAGAAGTGGTGCTGTGGCTCAAGTGGTAGAGGTGCTAGCCTTGAGCTGAAGAGCTGAGGGACAGCACCCAGGCCCAAAGTTCAGGCCCCATGACCGGATCCAAAAATAAATAAATAAAAAAAACAAAAAAAAAAAGGATCAAGTGTGGGGCCTGGAATGTAGCTCAGTGGTTCAATGCTTGCTTGATTTAGGTAAAGCTCTGGGTTCAGTCCACAAAAATTTAAAAAATAAAAGAAGCAAAACCAAAGACTATTAAAAGGGTTAAAATGAAGCTGCTTATGGCTCATGCCTATAACCAGCTACTCGGAGGCTGAGACCTGAAGGATGTGGTATGAAGTCAACTGAGGTAGAAGTCCTCAAAACTTTTTCTCCAGGGACACTGGTGGCTCATGTCTATAATCCTATGGGGTTAGGAGGCTGAGATCTGAGGATCAGAGTTTGAACCAGCCTGAGTCGGAAAATCTGTGAGATGTTTATCTCTAATTAACCACCAAAAAGCCAGAAATAGAGCTGTGGCTCAAGTGGTAGAGTGCTAGCCTTGAGTGAAAGAGCTCAGGGACAGCACCCAGGCCCTGAGTTTAAGCCCCATGACTGATTTAAAAAAAAAAAAAAAAAAAGATAGCAGTTTGCAGCGGGCAGGAAAAACTGGGGGGGGGGGGGGGGGGGGGGGGGGGAGGGGATGCAGAGCATAGGCTGTTTGGTGACAAGCAGGAAACAGTTGTATGACATTTCTGGATCCTCAAAAATTTGATAATCCACATGGGGAGTCAGATTAACAGATGTCATTAAAATGCTACAATCTAAAGGACAGAGTGACCCTTTGCTTGTTGTTTAGACATTGTGTAGAGCAGATATCCTCCTTGCATGATGAACAATTTGTAGGCTTATCTACCCACCCACCCCCCTTGCCAGTCCTGGAGCTTGAACTGCAGGTGCAGGTGTGGTTGTTCTCTTTGGGCCTTTTTTGTGTTCAAGGCTAGTACTCTACCACTTGAACCACAGCATCACTTGGGCTTTTTCTGAGTAGTTTATTGGCGATAAGAAAGCATCTCATGGACTTTCCCAGGCTGGTTTCAAACCATGATCCTCAGATCTCAGCCTCCTTCTAGCTAGGATTATAGTCATGAGGCACTGTCACCCGGCTGCCTTATCTCCTCCTCCTCCTCCTCCTCCTCCTCTTCTTCCTCTTCCTCCTCCTCTTCTTCTTTGCCAGTCCTGGGGCTTGAACTCAGGGCCTAGGCATTGTCCCTTAGCTCCTTTTTATTTTTTTTATTTTTTTTTATTTTTGGGTCTGGTCGTGGGGCCTGAACTCTGGGCCTGGGCGCTGTCCCTCAGCTCTTTAGCTCAAGGCTAGCGCTCTACCACTTGAGCCACAGCGCCACTTCGGCTTTTTTCTTTTTGCTTATGTGGTGCTGAGGAATTGAACCCAGGGCCTCATGCATGCAAGGCAAGCACTCTATCACTGAGCCACCTTCCCAGCCCTCCCTTAGCTTCTTTGACTCAAGGCTAGCCTCCACCACTTGAGCCACAGCGCCACTTCCAGTTTTTTCTGTTTATGTGGTACTGAGGAATCGAACCCATGGCTCCATGCATGTTAGGCAACACTCTACCACTAAGCCACATTCCTAGCACTGCCTTATCTCTTTAAGAAGGCTGCAACCCCTAACAAACTTCCAGAACAAACAAGAATCATAAATATTCAAAACCAACACTGATCTTTATTCCTGAATAAATAAAAACACAAATACATTTAAATAAGGGAGATATATGAAAAATGGTAAAAAAAAAAAAAATATCTGTTAAGTTAGATGATATTTCTTTGGTTTTGATATACTGGGATTTGAACTTAGGCCTTGGGCTTGCTAGGCAAGTGCTTTCCTAACCCATCTGCTACTAGAGGACTCTTACACTATACATTCTATTTCTGTATATGCTTAAAATAGATCATTGAGGGCTGGGAAGGTGGCTCAGTGATAGAGTGCTTGCCTTGCATGCCTGAGGCCCTGGGTTCGATTCCTCAGCACCACATAAACAGAAAAAAAAAAAAAAGCCAGAAGTGACGCTGTGGCTCAAGTGGTAGAGCGTTAGCCTTGAGCTGAAGAGCTGAGGGGCAGCGCCCAGGCCCAGAGTTCAGGCCCCACGACTGGACCCCCCCAAAAAAAATTATTAAATAAAAAAAAAGACTTGATACAAAAGGCTACAATATTGGAGCTATGAAATAGTACATCTTGGAAGAATATACACCAAATTAAAATTGGTTACTTTTTTTTTTTTTCTGGTCGGTAATGGAACTTGAACTCTGGGCCTGGGCACTGTCCCTCAGCTCTTCAGCTCAAGGCTAACGCTCTACCATTTGAGCCACAGTGCCACTTCTGGTTTTCTGGTTGTTTATTGGAGATAAGAGGCTCATGGACTTTCTTCCCCCAGCTGGCTTTAAACTATGATCCTCAGATCTCAATCTCCTGCGTAGCTAGGATTACAGGTGTGAGCCACTGGCACCCGGCAAAACTGGTTACTTTCAGGAGAAGAAAATGGACCGAGATTGGAAGTGGAGTTGGTGTAAACTTTAATATTTTCTGTATTATTTGTTTGTATATTTTAAACATTTTGAATTAGTAATGATAAACAACCACAAGACAAAGGATAATTTAAGCCAGCAACATGTCCCATTGAGAATCCTCATCTTTTTAGAGCCCAAATGGCACAGTGGGAGCTGCTGCAGAGTCTTGACAGCTTTTATCTGGACCAGCTGCACCGGCTGTATACAGAAAGCCTTCTGCCCATGGATGTTCGACAGTACTTGGCGGCCTGGATTGAAGACCAGAACTGGTGAGGGTTTTAAGAAGGTGGCTCAGTGGTAAGAGTGCTTGCCTTGCATGCATGAGGCCCTAGGTTCGATTTTCTCAGCACCACATAAGCAGAAAAAGCCAGAAGTGGGGCTGAGGCTCAAGTGGTAGAGTGCTGGTCTATAGCTGAAGAGCTGAGGGACAGCGCCCAGGCCCAGAGTTCAGGCCCCACAATTGGCATAAAAAAAAAAAAAAAAGAATTGAGGGAAGAAAAAAGTGCTTCCTTTCTCCTGAGCCTCCAACATCGTAGAGCTTGCAGAGATATTACCCTTGTCACTCCTGGTTTTCAGGAAAGAAGCTGCCCTGGGGAATGATGACTGCAAAGCCAAAATGTTATTCTTTCATTTCTTGGACCAACTGAACTCTGAATGTGGCCGCTGCAGTAAGGACCCAAAGAGCTTGTTGATACAGCACAACTTGCGAAAATTCTACAGGGATGTTCAGGATATTCAGGTGGGGTTGGGAATTAACGGTGGGAGTGTAGAGTATGGCTTGGGATGAGAAATAGTACCTAAGGTGCAAAGGGAATGGGGCAGACCTGGGGATGAGGGCAGAGTCTAGACTTGGGGGCTCATTGACAGAGAGGACTAAGTCTGGATAACACTATTGGGAGAAGGCTAGGGATTCAGGATTGGGAAATACTGGGAATATTAGAGAAAAGCTTGAGGGTGGCAGGTAACTGTAAATCATTGAATTAGCTGGGCACCATTGGCCCATGCCTATAATCTTATACTAGCTACTCAGGAGGCTGAGAGCTGAGGATCACAGTTCAAAGCCAGCCCAGGCAGGAAAGTCCATGAGACTGTTATCTCCAATTAAGCACCAAAATAGTCAGAAGTGAAGCTGTGGCTTCACTGTGGATATTGAGAGCTAGCCTAGAGCAGAAAAGCTTAGAGACAGCGCCCAAGGCCAGCACTCAAGTCCTAGGACTGGTGCACACACACACACACACATTAAAAAAAAATGTTGAGGGGCTGGGAAGGTGGCTCAGTGTAGAGTGCTTACCTTGCATGCATGAGGCCCTGGGTTCGATTCCTCAGCACCACATAAGCAAAAAGAAAAAAGCCGGAAGTGGCATTGTGGCTCAAGTGGTAGAGTGGAAGCCTTGAGCTGAAGAGCTGAGGGACAGCACCCAGGCCCAGAGTTCAGGCCCCACAACCAACAACAACAACAACAAAATGTTGAAACAATATGTAACTTCTCTAGTTTATATAAACAAGTGTCTGAGTATAATCCTCCAAGAGGATTAGGAAATACTTCTCAGACCAGCCTTGAAAAATGAATAAGAGTATGATAGGCAAGAAATGAGGGCAGATGGGGCTGGAAAGGTGGCTCAGTGGTAGAGCACTTGCCTTGCATGCCTGAGGCCCTGGGTTCGATTCCTCAGCACCACATAAGCAAAAAGAAAAAAGCCAGAAGTGGTGCTGTGGCTCAAGTGGAAGAGCGCTAGCCTTGAGCTGAAGAGCTGAGGGACAGTGCCCAGGCCCAGAGTTCAGGCCCCACAACTAGACCCCCCCCCAAAAAAAAAGAAATGAGGGCAGAGATAAGGGTTGGAGGAGGACATTCCAGGGAATAAGAATAGTCTTGGGCCGGGTGCCGCCGGTGGCTCAGGCCTGTAATCCTAGCTACTCAGGAGACTGAGATCTGAGGATCACAGTTCAAAGCCAGCCCAGGCAGCAAAGTCTGTGAGACTCTTATCTCCAGTAAACCACTAGAAAACTGGAAGTGGCACTGTGGCTCAAGCGGTAGAGAGCTCACCTTGAGCTGAAGAGCGCAGGGACAGCGCCCAAGCCCAGAGTTCAAGCCCCAAAACTGACCAAAAAAAAAAAAAAAAGTCCTGGCCAGTGGTTCTCAACTGAGTGCCATTTTACACTCACATCCAGGGGATATTTAGCAATGCCTGGAGACATTTTTGGTTGTTGTAAATGAAAGAGAAGAGATGTTACTGGGTAGCAGAAATTCTGCTAAACATCCTACAGGGTATAGGACAGTCCCAAGGTATAGATTAAAGGAAAGAAGCAAACTGGGGCTATAGATAAGTGGGAGAGCATTTTCCTAGCATGCACAAGGGCTTTGGTCAAATTATCAACCCCACAAAATTAAAAAAAAATCTTGTTGAATTAGATCAATCCTTTCTGTTTTATGGTTTTTTTTGTTTTGTTTTGTTTTGTTTTTGTTTTTTTGCCAGTCCTGAGGCTTGAACTCAGGGCCTGGGCACTGTCTCTGAGCTTCTTTTGATTAAGACTAGCACTCTACCACTTGAGCCCTAAGGGTGCCACTTCTGGCTTTTTCTGTTTATGTGGTATGGAGGAATTGAAGTCAGGGCTTCATACATGCTAGGCAAACACTCTACCACTAAGCCACATTTCCAGCCCTTCTTTCTGTTTTCTTTTCTTTCTTTTTTTTTTTAATTGTATTTTTTTTATCTTTTCTTTTTTGGTACTGGGGATTGAACCCAGGACATTGCACTTGCTAGGCAAGTGCTTTGCCACTGAGCTACATCTCAGCCCCTTCTTTCTGTTTTCTTACCTAGGTCTTTCCCCAAGGTGCTACTCAATTGGCTGAGTTGATCTTTAATCTCCTTCTAGAGGAACAAAGAATTCTAAATCAGGCTCAAAGGACTCAGATGGTAAGAAGAATTTCATAGTGTGTTCGGAAGCTCTTGGCATAGAAAGGGACTTTGTTAAGAACTGAGAGAATTTGGGCTGGGAAGGTGGCTCAGTGGTAGAGCACTTGCCTTGTATGCCTGAGGCCCTGGGTTCAATTCCTCAGCACCACATAAGCAGAAAAAAAAAAAAACCGGAAGTGGCGCTGTGGCTCAAGTGGTAGAGTGCTAGACTTGAGCTGAAGAGCTGAGGGACAGTGCCCAGGCCCAAAATTCAGGCCCCACGACCGGACCGCCCCCCCCCCCCCCAAAAAAAAAATAATTTAGAGAATTTGCCTCAGAACAGGATCCACTGCTGTGAAAGGTTACAGCTTAAAATGTGCTCAGAGTCTTTTATTTCAGGATCAAGACATACCAGATCTTGAAATGCCCATGGAGAATGAACAGGTGGAGATCGAATCCCGAATCCTGGATCTAAGAGCTATGATGGAGGTCGGTGGATGTGGCAAGAGTTGGGGTGGGAGGGTTTATCCTTCTTCCTCCCTCAGAAGTTATCTCATTAAAGTCCCTTCCTCTGTACAGAACCTGGTGAAATCCATCACACAACTGAAAGACCTGCAGGATGTCTTCAGCTTCCGATTCGTGATTCTCAACCAAAGTAGGAAAGCACAGCGGGCATGTTGGCTGGGAGGCCAGGTTGGAGGAGAGCAGAAAGGGAAAGCTCCAGTGAGCAATAGTTACCGTTAGCCACATGTCACTGTTTATAGTCCTCACATATAAGACTACAAGTGCCAGAGTATGTTGTAGAAGCTGGGCTGGAGGCAGAGCTGAGGGACAACTTCTGTGTTTTGGGGTTTTTTTTTTTGGGGGGGGTTGGTCGTGGGGTTTGAACTCTGGGCTTTGGGCACTGTCCCTCAGCTCTTCAGCTCAAGGCTAGCACTCTACCACTTGAGCTACAGTGCCACTTCTGGTTTTCTGGTGGTTTATTGGAGATAAGAGTCTCACAGACTTTCCTGCCAGGGCTGGCATTGAACCGCGATCCTCAGATCTCAGCCTCCTGAGTAGCTAGGATTACAGGTGTGAGCCACCCGCACCCTGGAAGGACAACTTCTGAATATTGGAGGAAATGCATAGAAAATGTCCTTATTCGGTTCAGTAGACTTCTAGTATATTCAGAATTTTCCAGAGAGCTCCAGGTTCCTGTCCATGGTGTGGCTTTCCCTTCTCCCTCCTAAATTTCCCTTTCCTGTCACTGACTGAGACCCATGCCAAGAAAGAGAAGAAGTTTGGTAGCCAATGGCTTCTGCCTGCAATCCTAACTACTCCAGAGGCTGAGATCTGAGGATCACAATGCTCAAAGTTAGGAAAAGTCCATGAGAACCTTATCTTCAATCAATCACCAAAAAGCCAGAAATGGAGCTGTGGCTCAAGTGGTAGAGCACCAGCTTTGAAGGACAGCGCTCAGACCCTGAGTTCAAGCCCTGGTATCAGCACAAAAGAGAGGGGCAGGGAAAAGGAGAAGAAGGAAAGAAGCACCTACTTTAACTCCTACTCATGCCATTTAGGGAAAACATCTTCGGACCCCCATCACAGCACGCAACAGCAGCTTGTGCAGAATACTGCCAATGAACTGGACAAAAGGAGAAAGGTGAGGGCAAAGGATAGAGGCAGTGGGCAGGGGGAGTGGCTGGGAAAATGGTGGGATCTAGGGACCCTGGCCCTGTCACTTTGGCCTCTTTGTCTCTTCATCAGTCAGATGCTGAAGTCTGGTGGTCAGAGGTACTCAGCACTCATATCCTCTCTCCTAGGAGGTACTGGATGCTTGTAAAGCACTGGTGGGCCGATTAACTACCCTGGTCGAACTACTGCTGCCAAAGTTGGATGAATGGAAAGTCCGGCAACAAAAAGCCTGCCTTGGAGCGCCACTGGACCATGGGTTGGAACAACTGGAGAAATGGTAAGAGGAAATGCATTTTCTTCCCCTCCTGATCAGAGCCACTCTTTGTGTTTTGTGAGATGACATGGGCTACACACAGCAAGGAACACTGACTGCTCTCAATGGCTTCCCCTCTCCAGAATGAGCCCAACTCTTCTGTCTCACTGGAGCTATATTCTGTTTGTTTTGTGTTGGTCCTGGTGTTTGAACTGAGGGCCTGGGCTTTGGTACTCAAGGCTAGTGCTCTACCACTTGAGCTACTCCACTTCCTGCTTTGGGGTGGTTAATTGGAGATAAGACTCTCATGGGCTTTCCTGTCCTGGCTAGTTGTTTTTTTTTTGGGGGGGTCCAGTCGTGGGGCCTGAACTCTGGGCCTGGGCGCTGTCCCTCAGCTCTTCAGATCAAGGCTAGCACTCTACCACTTGAGCCACAGTGCTACTTCTGGCTTTTTTCTTTTTGCTTATGTGGTGCTGAGGAATCAAACCCAGGGCCTCATGCATGCAAGGCAAGCGCTCTTCCACTGAGCCACCTTCCCAGCCCCTGTCCTGGCTAGCTTTGATGTTCTCTGCTTTTTAATCTTCATGACACAAGTAACACAAAGACCTAGTCTTTGCTTTGGAGAAAGTAAGGAATTGATGCACAATGTAACTTTTCATTTTGTGATTTGACCTCCGGACTTCATGTTTGCTAGGTGGGCTCTCTGTTGTTTGAGCACCGGCCCTTTCTCCCCTCCCTGATTATTCTTAAATAGAGTTTTACTTTTTCATCCAGGCTGGCCTGGACAATTGCCACAGCTGAGATGATAGGCACACATCACCATGTCCACTTTTTTTTTTTTTTGGGGGGGGGGGGAGGGGGCCAGTCCTGGGGCTTGAACTCAGAGCCTGAACACTGTCCCTGAGCCTCTTTTGCTCAAGATTAGCACTCCACCACTTGAGCCATAGCACCGCTTCTGGCTTTTTCTGTTTAAGTGGTACTGAGGAATCAAAACCAGGGCTTTGTGCATGCTAGACAAGCATTTTACCACTAAGCCACATTCCTAGCCCCCTAGATTTGACGAGTTGAAGGCCCTTGAGAAAGCCACCTTTTTTGTGTCCTTCAGTTTTATCCTCTGTGAAACAGGTATAATACTAGTACCTACCCCATGGGCTGGTTGTAAGTGTATTTCATTAATGTGTGTGAAACACAATAAATCATACACAGCAAGCATCATGTTAGAAATAACTCTCATTTAATAAACCTTGTATCAGTGTCATGTGTGAAATGACTTTGATTTTTTTCATCTCTTGAATTATGAATCATGCTGAATAATCTGTTATATGCTTCCAAATCAGTTTTCCCCAGAATTTTTTTTTTTTTTGGGTCCGGTCGTGGGGCCTGAACTCTGGGCCTGGGTGCTGTCCCTCAATTCTTCAGCTCAAGGCTAGCGCTCTACTACTTGAGACACAGCGCCACTTCCGGCTTTTTTCTTTTGCTTATGTGGTACTGAGGAATCGAACCCAGGGCCTCATGCATGCAAGGCAAGTCCTCTACCACTGAGCCACCTTCCCAGCCCCCAGAATTTTTTTTTATTTGCTGGTCCTGGGGGCTTCATCTCAGGGCCTGGCATTGTCCCTGACTCTTCGTTCTCAAGGCTAGTGCTGTTTCACTTGAGCCACAGTGTGACTTCCAGATTTTTCGAGTAGTTCTTTAGAGAAAATAATAATAATAGCCAGCCTGTGCTGGCTTCAAACCATGAGCCTCAGGTCTCAGCCTCCGGAGTAGGTAGGATTACAGGTGTGAGCCACCAGTGGCGCTCTCCCAGAACCTTGGTGGTGACTCCACCCCAGAAACTCACGGATCCTCTCTCTCTGGATTCTGTTGCCAGGTTCACAGCTGGAGCAAAGCTATTGTTTCATCTGCGGCAGCTCCTGAAGCAGCTGAAGGAATTGAGCCACATGGTTGCGTATAAGGGTGACACTTTTAAAGATGGAGTACATCTACAGAAGGCCCAAGTCACAGAATTACTACATAATCTGCTCCACAGGTCTGGTGGCCAGGGAGGGAGCTCTGGGAAGAGCAGAAGGAAAGAAATAACAGGGGACATTCTTACACATACTGATAACCTTCTCCATACCTCTGTCCGCAGAGCATTTGTGGTGGAGGCTCAACCCTACATGCCCCAAACTCTCCATCGGCCCCTCATCCTCAAGACAGGGAGCAAGTTCACCGTCCGAACACGGTTGGCATTATAGAGCACCTGCCTTCTTTTTCCAGCCCTGTCACTATGCACTGGTATTTTTTGCCTTTACAGATCTCACTCCTGTCCTTTCTTTTTTCTCTCCTTTATATTCATCTTCTTCCTTTAATTCTTTCCCTTAGCTTCTTAGCTTTTGCTAAACCCTTACCTGGCCTCTCCAGGAGGTTAGATGAGCCATTTTTCCCAATCCATCTTCCTTTCCCCGCAGGCTGCTAGTGAGACTCCAGGAAGGCAATGAGTCACTGATGGCAGAAGTCTCCATTGACAAGTAAGTTAGCACAGGTGCATGGTGGGACCAAGGGACGGACAGGACATGGGCTGGGGTGGAGGTAGTATGAACTAACTCTTCCTTCCCTTTCATTACTCCTGGGGGCACCTACTATGTGACATACAAGAGCAACTACAAGTTGGGTATTCAAATGTGCAGGGGCTGGGAAGGTGGCTCAGTGGTAGAGCGCTTGCCTTGCATGCCTGAGGCCCTGGGTTCGATTCCTCGGCACCACATAAGCAAAAAGAAAAAAGCCGGAAGTGGCGCTGTGGCTCAAGTGGTAGAGCGTTAGCCTTGAGCTGAAGAGTTCAGGCCCCATGACCCACCAAAAAATAAAAAATAAAAAAATAAAATAAAATGTGCAAATAAGAATACTGGCTCAAGCTAGGCACAGTGGTTCATGCCTATAATCCTAGTTAGGAGGTAGATATGAGGATTGTGGTTCAAAGTTAGCCCTGGCAGAAAAGTACTGGTGAGACTGATTTCCAATTAATGATTCAAAAACCAGAAGTGGAGCTGTGGCTTAAAGTGGTGGAGTGCTAGCCTTGAGCAAGAAAGTTCAGAACAGTGCCTGGGCCCTGAGTTCAAGCCCCACAACAGACAAAAGAAAAAGAAAACAATGTGGGACACTGGTGGCTTATGCTTGTAATTCTAGCTATTCAGGAGGCTAAGATCCCAGGATTGTGGTTCAAAGCCAGCCTGGGCAGGTAAGTCCATGAAAGTCTTGTCTCCAATAAATGACCAGAAACCTGGAACTGGCTCTGTGGCTTAGTGGTAAAGTTCTAGCCTTGAGCTGAAGAGCCGAGGGACAGTGCCCAAACCCAGAGTTCAAGCCCCACGACTGACAAAAGAAAAGAAAAAGAATACAAGCTTAGAGAGATTGTCTTTTTTTTTTTTTTTTTTATTGTAAAGATACTATACAGAGGGTTACAGTTACATGAGTGAGGTAATGAGTATACTTCCTCTTGAACATTGTTACCCCCTCCATTGTTTTCCCCCTACCATCCCCTCCCTCCCTCCCTTCCCCGAGGTTCTTTTTTTTTTTTTTTTGATTGTGATTAAGTGATTACATAATTTCAAAGTCACAAGTTCATTCTAACTTCCCTGGAGGAAATTGTCTACCACAGTCTGTAATATATAACAGTGTTAACATGTTATATACCATATTTGTGATCAGCAGCATGGGGATATTTAGTAGTGGTTCAACCAGATGAGCAGGAGTTCTTTGTTTCTTAAGTCCTGTTAGTTTTGTCGTATCACCTAACATTTTGGATTTAGCATCCACTTATCAGGGAGACCATGTACCGTTTGTCTCTTCGTTCTTGGCTTACCTCGCTCAACATGATTCCTTCTAGCTCCATCCATTTCCCTGCAAATGCCATTATTTTGTCATTTCTAATGGCTGCATAATATTCCATTGTGTATAGATACCACAATTTTTGGATCCATTCATCTGTGGTGGGGCATCTAGGTTGTTTCCGTATCCTAGCTATTGTGAACAGTGCTGCAATAAACATGGAGGTGCACGTGTCCTTGTATATTGGTTCCTGTTGTTCAGGGTAGATGCCTAGAAGTGGTATGACTGGGTCGTAAGGGAGGTCAATCTTTAGCTTTCTAAGGACCCTCCAGACTGCTTTCCAAAGTGGTTGTATAAGTGTACATTCCCACCAGCAGTGTAATAGGGTTCCTCTTTCTCCACATCCCCTCCAGCATTTGTCGTTGGCTGATTTGTGGATGTGGGACATTCTGACTGGGGTGAGGTGGTATCTCAGGGTTGTCTTTATTTGCATTTCCTTCACCACCAGGGATGATGAACATTTCCTCATGTGTTTCTTTGCCATTTTTATTTCTTCATTTGAGAAGTCCCTCTTTAGTTCCCTTGCCCATTTAGTAATTGGTTTGTTAGGTTTGGGAGGGATTAGTTTCTTGAGTTCCCTGTATATACAGGATGTTAACCCCTTGTCTGATATATTGCTGGTAAATATTTTTTCCCGATTAGTTGGTTGTCTTTCTAACTTAGTTGCGATAGATTTAGCTGTGCAGAAGCTTTTTATTTTCAGGTAGTCCCATTTGTCGAGTCTCTCTCCAACTTGTTGTGACCCTGGGACTCTGTTCAGGAAGTTCCTTCCTGTGCCTATTAGTTCAAGTGTCTCTCCTACTCTGTCCTGCAGTAGTTTCAGAGATTCAGGTTTAATGTTAAGGTCTTTAATCCATTTTGAGTTGATGTTGGTGCATGGTGATAGGCTGGGGTCCACTTTTAGTTTTCTGCATGTGGCTGCCTAGTTTTCCCAGCACCAGCGGTTGAAGAGGCTGTGTTTCTTCCATTGTATGTCTTTGGCTCCTTTGTCGAATATCAGCTGGCTGTAGGCCTGTGGATTTATATCTGGATCTTCTATTCTGTTCCATTGGTCTTCGGGTCTGTTTTTGTGCCAGTACCATGCTGTCTTTGTTATTATAGCTCTGTAGTAGAGTTTGAAGTTCGGCATGGATAGCCTTCCCATATTGTCTTTATCCCCTAGAATTGTTTTGGCTATTCTAGGTCTTTTGTTGTTCCATATAAATTTTTGGACTGTTTTCTGTATTTCAGTGATGTACGTCATTGGGATTTTAATAGGAATTGCATTGAATTTGTATATTAGTTTTGGAAGTATTACCATCTTTACTATATTAAGTCGGCCTATCCAGGAGCATGGGAGGTCTTTCCATTTCCTAGTGTCTTCTGCAATTTCTTTCTTTAACTTTTTATAGTTCTCATTAAATAGTTCTTTTACATCTTTGGTTAGGTTAATTCCTAAATATTTTATTTTTTGGGAGGTTATTGTGAATGGGGTTGCTCCCTTTATTTCCCTCTCTTCCTGTACATTATCAGTGTATAGGAAGGCAACTGATTTTTGTGGGTTTATTTTGTATCCTGCTATTTTGCCGAAGTGACTTATAATTTCTAAAAGTTTGGGGATGGAGTTTTGGGGATCGTGGAGGTATAGTATCATGTTGTCTGCAAAAAGGGATAGTTTAACTTCTTCTTTCCCTATGCGGATCCCTTTAATGTCTTTTTCTTGCCTTATTGCCCTGGCTAAGGGTTCTAGGACTATGTTGAAGAGGAGTGGAGACAGTGGGCATCCTTGCCTTGTTCATGTTTTTAGGAGGATTGGTTGTAGCCTTTCCCCATTAAGTATAATATTGTCTATTGGTCTGTCATAAATGGCTTTTATTGTTTTTAGAAATGTTCCTTCTATTCCTATTTTCTCCAGAGCTTTTAGCATGAATGAATGTTGAATTTTATCAAAGGCCTTTTCTGCATCTGTGGCGATAATCATGTGATTCTTGACCTTGGCTCTGTTGATATGCTGGATTACATTTATTGACTTACGTATGTTAAACCATCCCTGTGTCTCTGGGATGAAGCCTACCTGATCATAGTGTATTATTTTTTTTATGTGTTTCTGGATTCTGTTAGCTAGAATCTTGTTAAGGATCTTTGCATCTGTGTTCATCAAGGAAACTGGCCTGTAATTCTCCTTTTTGGTTGGGTCTTTGCCTGGTTTGGGGATGAGTGTGATATTGGCTTCGTAGAATGAGTTTGGGATAGCTCCCTCCTTCTCTGTTTCTCTGAAGAGCTTGAGGAGTATGGGTATTAGTTCTTCTTTAAAGGTCTTATAGAATTCTGCTGTGAATCCATCTGGTCCTGGGCTTTTTTTTGTTGGAAGACTTTTGATAGCTTCCTGTATCTCATTATAGGATATTGGCTTATTTAATTGGTTAACTTCTTCTTTGCTCAGTTTGGGTAACTTGTATTTCTCTAAAAATGCATCCATTTCTGCCAGATTTTCTTCCTTTAGAGAGTATAGCTTTTGAAAGTAGTCTGTTAGAATTGTTTGGATATCTTGGGTACGTGTTGTGATGTTTCCGGTGGCATCCCTAATCCTATTAATATGAGTTTCCTCTCTTCTTTTTTTAATTAATCTTGCCAACCAGCCATCAATTTTGTTTATTTTTCAAAGAACCAGCTTTTTGTTTGGTTTATTTTGGTTATGGTTTTCTGATTTTCTAATTGGTTAATCTCTGCTCTTAATTTGGTTATCTGGCTTCGTCTAGTAGCTTTAGGTCCCATTTTTTCTTGTTTTTCTAGCTGTTTTAGTTGCAACATGAGATTATTTACTTGGTCTGTCTCCATTCTCTTGATGTGGGCACTGAGGGCAATAAATTTGCCCCTCAGGACTGCTTTTGCTGTGTCCCACAAGTTTCTTTGTGAGGTGTTTTCATTTTCACTGAGTTGTAGGAAATGCTTTATTTCTTCTCTGATCTCTTCTGTTACCCAGGTATTGTTAAGGAGTGTGCTGTTCAATTTCCATGTATTAGAGAAATTTCTGAGGTATGCTTTGTTATTGAGAGCTAGCTTGATTCCACTGTGGTCAGATAGGATACAGGGGATTATGTCAATCCCTTTGTATTTGCTTAAGTTCCTTGCATGAACTATGATATGGTCTATTTTGGAGAAAGTTCCATGAGCTGCTGAGAAGAATGTGTACTGTGTTGTTTTAGGGTGAAATACTCGGTAGATGTCAGTTAATTCCGCTTGAAGTATGGCCTCACTTAATTCGGTAGCTTCTTTGCCAATCCTCTGGTTGGTAGACCTGTCCTTTGGTGAGAGTGGCGTGTTAAAGTCTCCTAGTATTATCGTATTGGGATCTATTTTATTCTGTAAGTTTGAGAGCATTTGTTTGACATATCTGGGTGCACCGATATTTGGGGCATATAAGTTGATGATGGTTATATCCTCCTCTTGGATTGTTCCCTTTATTAATATGTAGTGTCTGTCCTTGTCTTTCTGTACTGATTTTAATGAAAAGTTTATTTTGTCAGATATCAGGATAGCTACACCTGCTTTCTTATTGGGGGCATTTGATTGGTAGATCCTTTTCCACCCCTTCACTCTGAGTTTGTTTGTATGTTTGGCTGAGAGGTGGGTCTCCTGAAGGCAACAGATGGATGGGTCTTGTTTTCTGATCCAGTCCTCAGTTCGTTTTCTTTTAATTGGCGAATTCAGCCCATTTATATTAAGAGAAAGTATAGAGAGATGCATTGTTGTCCCTGCCATTCCGTTTTCCTAAGTTTTTCTTCTTTCCTTTCCTCCTGTGCTTGCTCAGTTAGACTTTGAGTAATGCCTGTTTGGGGCAGGTCCCAGTTCCTGGTTGCTTTCTTCAGGTTGTGTCCCCCCTCTTAGAATTCTTTGTAATGCTGGCTTAATGTTTACGTATTCATTTAGTTTTTCTTTGCTATTAAAAGTTTTCAGTTCTCCATCGAATGTGAATGCTAGCTTTGCCGGGTATATCAGTCTGGGTTGGCAGTTATTGGCTCTCAGGGCTCGTATGGTGCTTTTCCAGGCTTTTCTTGCATTCATTGTTTGTGTGGAGAGATCTGCAGTGATTCTAATTTTTTTCCCGTTGTAGTATAGCTCCTTCTTCATTTTTGCTGCATGCAGGATTGTTTCCTTATTATTCAGATCCATCATTTTTACTATAATGTGTCTAGAAGTGTTTCTCCTGGGATCTTGCTTGTTGGGTGTTCGATAAGCTTTTGTGATGTAGTTAAGATGGTCGTTTTTGAGGTGGGGAAAATTTTCATTGACTATCTTGTTAAATAGGTGTTTCATTCCCTTGCTCTGGAATTCCTCACCTTCGTCCACTCCGATTATGCGAAGGTTAAATTTTTTAGCATTATCTGCTTGCTCTTGAATTTCCCTTTGGTTTAATTTGAGTGATTTTTCCATATCTGTCACTTTGAGATTGTCTTTTCTATGAGCTCACATAGCTACTGAGATGCAGGTTTGAATTCAAGTGTATTTAATTACAAAAATCAAGTTCCTGCCGGGTGCTGGTGGCTCACGCCTGTAATCCTAGCTACTCAGGAGGCTGAGATCTGAGGATCGCGGTTCAAAGCCAGCCCAGGCAGGAGAGACCGTGAGACTCCTATCTCCAATAAACAACCAGAAAACCGGAAGTGGCACTGTAGCTCAAGTGGTAGAGTACTCGCCTTGAGCTGAAGAGCTGAGGGACAGCGCCCAGGCCCAGAATTCAAGCCCCACAACCGACAAAAAAAAAAAAAATCAAGTTCCTAACTTCTGTACTTTTGTACTTTTTAATTATTATTATTTTTAAATTTCTTTTCAGGAATCCTCCTCAGTCACAAAGGTAGGTACCTGACCAGGATACCTGCAGACGTCTGTGCTGTACCATGTTTGGCAGCTCTGGTGGGAAGACAAAGAGGGGAATTTGGGTGGGACATGGGTAAAGAGAGAAGGGAGCGTGAAATGAAATAGAATTTCTGTTTTCCTGCTGAGTTTCAAAAATAACTACTCTAAAAAAATCCTATTCCTGGCTGGATGCTGGTAGATCATACCTGTAATCCTAGGTACTTAGGGAGCTGAGAGCTAAGGATCATTGTTTAAAGCACAGCCCTGGCACACAAATGCAAGAGATTCATCTCCAATTAACCAGCATAAAGCCAGAAGTAGAGGTGTGGCCCAAGTAGTAGAGCACCAGCCTTGATCCAAAGAGCTAAGGAAGTGCCCCCTGAGTTCAAGCCCCAGTACTACCACTGACATAAAAATAAATAAAATTTAAAAATTAAACATAACTTTGCTCTTTATCTCCATTCATTTTCTTTCTCTTGGAACAGCTTCCGGAAGTTCAACATTCTAACCTCAAACCAGAAAACTTTGACCCCAGAGAAAGGACAGAAAGAGGGTTTAATTTGGGACTTCGGCTTCTTGGTAAGGAAGATAAAGGACTGTTAGACTAGAGAAACTTTCCAAGCTCTGATACAAAATAGGAAGATCCAGGGACCTTGGTGTCCCCACTCTGAACATTCTCTCTCTTTACTCCCAATCCACAGACACTGGTAGAACAACGTCCAACTGGTCAAGGAAAGGGCAACAATAAGGTAAGACCGAGAATTTGCCAAAGCAATAAATCAGGGAATTTGCCAAAGGATCCTCTTATCACTGTCTCTGGCTGTCACAGGGACCGATGACTGTGACAGAAGAATTGCACATTATCAGCTTCACGGTCAACTATATCTACCAGGGTCTGAAGATGGAGCTGCAAGTGAGTGAAAGAAAGTAGGAGAACATGGGGCAGATTTGGAGGGAGGCATGGGGAGGATATAAACTGAAGACTTTGAGGGTGGACTGTCCCCCTCTGCCTGCCCCTAGGAAATATCTGCCGTTAAGAACATCATGGGCTGAGAAGGTGGATCAGTGGTAGAGCACTTGCCTTGCATGCATGAGGCCCTGAGTTCAATTCCTCAGCACCACATAAGCAAAAAAAAGAAAAAAGCCAGAAGTGGCGCTGGTGCTCAAGTGGTAGAGTGCTAGCCTTGAGCTCACGAGCTGAGGGACAGCGCCCAGGCCCAGAGTTCAGGCCCCACGACCGGACCCAAAAACAAAACAAAACAAAAGAACATCATATCCACCGGGCGCTGGTGGCTCACACCTGTAATCCTAGCTACTCAGGAGGCTGAGATCTGAGGATCACGGTTCAAAGCCAGCCCAGGCAGGAAAGTCCGTGAAACTCTTATCTCCAATTGACCACTAGAAAACCAAAAATGGCTCTGTGACTCAACTGGTAGAGCGTTAGCCTTGAGCTGAACCATTCAGGGACAGTGCCCAGGCCCAAGTTCAAGCCTCATGACCAACAAAAAAAGAAAAGAAAAAACATCATATCCGTCCTCCCTGACTCTTATCTTCTCCCCAGACGGACACTCTCCCTGTGGTGATTATTTCTAATATGAACCAATTGTCCATTGCCTGGGCCTCCATTCTGTGGTACAATCTTCTCAGCCCAAATCAGGTAGGAGATTAGGCCAGTGGGTGAGTATAGATCGAAGGGGATGGAAGCCTGGTGTGAGGGACTGTTTTAGAACCATCCGACTCTCCTCCCATTCCCACAGAACCAGCTGTTCTTCTCCAGCCCCCCTCTGGCTCCCTGGAGCCTGCTGGGCCCTGCTCTCAGTTGGCAGTTCTCTAACTATATCGGCCGAGGTCTCGATGCTGAGCAGCTGAGCATGTTAAAGAACAAACTCTTCGGTACACATCTCCTTTTCTTTCCCTTTCCCCAGCCTTAGTCTGCCCCTGCCTTGTGTCCCAGCTATCTATCCCAGGACCCCTGCCTCAACTTGCTTCCCTCTTTCAGTCATGTGACCTCTCTGTGACTGTCTGTTCCATAGGACAGAACTTTAGGATGGAGGACCCACTGTTGTCCTGGACTGACTTCAGCAAGGTAACTGCTTGGATCTTGTGTAGCTAGATCTAGCCCAAACACTGCCCCATCTCTAGTGTTCCTCCCCTCCAACAGAGACAGCTCCACCTTTCCATTCCTCTTCCAGCGAGAGAGCCCTCCTGGCAAGATACCATTCTGGACATGGCTGGACAAAATTCTTGAGCTGGTACATGATCACCTGAAGGATCTCTGGAATGATGGGTAAGTCCTCAGTCACCCTTCCCATCTTTGTTCTTTTCTGAACTCAGAATAGACTAGGTGCACCCCCAGTGGCAAATAGAGATGGAGCTGAAACTCATACAGGGCCACAATTGTAATAATGGTAGTCATGGCCTGTATTTTTTATCAAGGGCATCCTATGCTCCCGAACCTGGGGAATGCTTTCTTGAATTATCACATTTAATTACTATGACCGTTCTGAGGGATGAGTGTTCCCGACTTCATTTCACATGAGGAAACTAAGTCTTAAGTTCAGGAACTTGCCCAAAGGACAGAGCTGGCATTTAAACCCAGGCCTTTGTGACTCTAGAGCCGTATTCTCACTGCCTGCCCATTTGCACATTACTTGGCCTTCATAAGGTGCTGTTTGTGTGTGTGCGTGTGTGCGCGCGTGCATGCATGCACGCACGCATGTGTACACATGCACATGCATATGCATGTGCCATTAGTGAGGCTTAAACTCAGGGCCTTATGTTTTTCCTTAGCTTTTTTTGTCGTTGTGGCTTTTTTGTGTGTGTGTTTTCGTCCTAGGGCTTGAATTCAGGGCCTGGGTGCTATCCTTTAGCTTTTTTTGGCTCAAGGCTAGTACTCTACCACTTGAGCCACATTGGGCTATTTTTGGTGATTAATGAGAAACAAAAGTTTCAAGGTCTTTTCTGCCCTTCACTGGCTTTGAGCTAAGATCTCAGATCTCAGTCTCCTGCATAGCGAGGATTACAGGTATGAGCTATCAGTGCCCAACTTCTTCCTTGGCCTTTTTGCTCAAGGCTGGTACCCTACCACTTGAGCCACACTTCCACTTCCAGCCTTTTTGCTAGTTAATTGGAGATAACAGGCTCAGGCTCAATTCTCAGATCTCAGCTTCCTGAGTAGCCAGGATGACAGCACCCAGCTGTCAGGTGCTTTTCGTCTGTTTGATTTCACCAAATCCTCATGCCTTAAATCCACAGGTGGAGGAAGTGAAGTGAACTTGGCCATTGATGGGGACGTTTCTAAGAGACAGAGCTGGGGCCAAAACCTGGCACTCGTTTCCATACAAGGGGGACAGGAATGGTGGGGCGGGGCGGAGGGGGAGGCGAGGGGATTGTATCTCAAGCTGCTTTTTCTGTACCAGACGCATTATGGGCTTTGTGAGTCGGAGCCAGGAACGCCGGCTACTGAAGAAGACCATCTCTGGGACTTTTCTGCTGCGTTTCAGTGAATCTGCAGAAGGGGGAATCACCTGCTCCTGGGTGGAACACCAGGATGGTCAGCTGCTCTTCCCTGCACTTCCCCACAGCCTTTGTTTTCTACCTGATTCTCTATTCCTCTGCCTGTCTTTGGTTTTCTATACTATGTACTGAATCCTGCAGTAGCTTTAGGGTTAGGCAACCTGGGTGGGGAGCAATGGGCCCAGGCTCTTGTCTCTAACCTGTTCCTACATCCACTCTTCAGGTAAGATGCCCATCCGATCTGTGCAGCCCTTCACCAAGGAAGTGCTGCAGTCCCTCCCACTGACCGAAATCATCCGCCACTACCAGCTGCTCACCGAGGAGAACATCCCTGAGAACCCACTGCGCTTCCTCTATCCCCGGATCCCCCGTGATGAGGCTTTCGGGCGCTACTACCGGGAAAAAAGTGGGTTTCATTGCCATACTTTGTCCTAGATTGCAACTACTTTCAGACATCCATATCAACTTCTCTCTCTCTCTCTTAAATAATTTTATTGTTACTATTAATGTGTTATACATAGGGGTTACCATTTCATAAGTCAGATAATGAGTAAATTTATTTTTTTGGACAAAGTCATCTCTTCCTTCACTTTCCCCCAGTTTTCCCCTCCCATCCCTGCCCACAAGTTACATGGTTCATTTTCCACATAGTATATACTGAATAGCATGATTGCATTTGTTCACTCTTCCTTCCTCCCTTTCTGCATTCTCCCTTTACCTGCCCCCCTAAAAGAAAAACTACCCAAAGCAAAACCAAACACCACCACTGGCAAGAATAACGACAAAAACAAAGGTATATTGCCAAGGGCTGGTGGCTCATGCCTGTTATCCTAGCTACTTAGGAGGCTGAGATCTGATGGTTATGGATCAAAGCCAGTCCAGGCAGGAAAGTCTGTAAGACTTATTTCTAATTAACCACTGGAAAACCAGAAGTGGAGCTGTGGCTCAAAGTGGTAGAATGCTAGCCTTGAGTGAAAAAGCTCAGGGATAGCACCAGGTCCTGAGTTCAAGCCCCACAACTGACAAATAGACAAAAAACAAAAAATCATGTTGCCATTGCCTGGAATTAATTTTAATAAATAGTATTTTAAATGTTCAGAGAGGGCTGGGACTGTGGTTTAGTGGTAGAGTGCTTGCCTAGCATGCATGAAGCCCTGGCTTCAATTCCTCAGTACTATCTACACAGAAAAAGCCAGAAGTGGTGCTGTAGCTTAAGTGGTAGAGTGCTAGCCTTGAGCAAGAAAGAGAAGCTCAGAGCCGGGCGCTGGTAGCTCATGCCTGTAATCCTAGCTACTCAGGAGGCTGAGATCTGAGGATCACAGTTCAAAGCCAGCCCAGGCAGGAAAGACTGTGAGACTCCTATCTCCAATAAACCACCAGAAAACCGGAAGTGGCGCTGTAGCTCAAGTGGTAGAGCGCTCGCCTTGAGCTGAAGAGCTGAAGGACAGCGCCCAGGCCCAGAGTTCAAACCCCACGACCGACAAAAAAAAAAAAAAGAGAAGCTCAGAGACAGTGCCAAAGCCCTGAGTTCAAGCCCCAGGACTGGCAAAAAATTAAAAAATGTTCAGAGAAGTTACACCTTTGTGTTCATCCCCTAAGGATAATCCCCTTTCGTCTGACTGCTGTGTGTCATCGCTTAAAATCCTATATAGGTTATCATGTCCAGTTATATTTTAGATCTTGCTTCCACATATGAGAGAAAACATGTGACATTTGTCTCTCTTAAGTTTGACTTATCTCACTAAGCATAATTTATTCGAGGCCCATCCATTTTCCTACAAATGACATCCGTTTATTCTTTCTAATGGATGAGTAAAACTCCTTTGTGTACATATACCACATTTTACCAATCCATTCATTCTCTCTATTTTGCTGGTGCCATGGCTTACACACAGAGGACTGGTACTCTCTTTCACAACTTTTTCCCTTACAGTGGTTGCTCTACCACTTGATCACACACCCCAGTCCAGCTTCTTTTTGCTGGTTCATTGGAGAGTGTTGAAGATTTTTCTGCTCAGTCTGACTTTGAACCATGATCCTCCAGGTCTTAGCTTCCTGAGTAGCTAGGATTATAAGCATGAGCCACTGCACCTGGTTCTAGCCCCTTCTTTTTTAAAATAATTTTGGTTGAGATTAAGTGATTACATAAATTTCAGAAATGTCACAGTATTGTAGGATAGTGATAGTTAAAGTCACATTTTAACCTTCACAAGGCACATTGTCATTATCTTGGCCTATAAAGTTTGTGAAGTCTATAAGCTTTGACAATACAACTATTTCTTCTGAGTTGAGTGATATGTCCATTTCTTTCCTTTTTCTTAGTGTTAGCTCTTCCCTCTTTCCCTCTCATTCCCACCCTCCCATCGCTGCCCTTGAGTTGCTTAGTTCATTTTCATCAATATTCAGTGCAGCTGATGTTAGCCCCGTCTTTTAAACACAGAAACTCAGATACACACTAGAGCTAAGGGATTATTAGTCTGTGGGCACACTAGTTAGTGGGTAGATATGATTGATTGTCAATGCTGTCTGCACTTAGGGGAACCTTGAGCCCTGTGTCTAACCCTCTGACTTCTTACCTCCTATGTGTGTCTCCACAGTTAATCTTGAAGAACAGAGAAAATACCTGAAACATAGGCTCATTGTAGTCTCTAACAGGTAAGATACAAATCTTTCTCCCATCCTCCTAATCCTTTTGGCCTGCTAAAAGTGGCTACCTGCTCAACCCTAGTCCCTCCATCCTTGTTTCTTTCTTTACCCACACTTTCCAGGCCTCTAGATTTTTCCCATTCTATCTTATTTTACCTCCTTTCCTACTTTCCTGCTGCCTGTTAATAATAGTCATAATCACTAGTGTTAATAGGCACCTACAAGATACCAAGCATAGTACTAAATTGCTATTCTTCCCCTGCTTCCTCCTTCCTGTTCTACCCTCTGGTAAGCTTTTTTTTGGGGGGGGGCGGGGGTTCAGTCATGGGGCTTGAACTGTTGATATGGGTGCTATCCCTCAGCTCTTCAGCTCAGGCTAGTGCTCTACCACTTGAGCCACAGCATCACTTCCAGTTTTCTGAGTGGTTTATTGGAGAGAAGAGTCTCACGGACTTTCCTGCCTAGGCTGAGTAGCTAGGATTACAGGCGTGAGCTATCGATGCCTGGCTTTAGTAACCATTTTTTTACTCTTCACTTCTTGTTTTAGCTTCCACAAATGAATGAGGAGATGTGGTATCTGAAATTCCATCTGTGTTGCCAAAAATTATAGTATTTCATTTTATGAAAATACTGGCTGGGCTGGGAATGTGGCTTAGTGGTAGAATGCTTACCAAGTACACATGAAGCCCTGGGTTCGATTCCTCAGTACCACATAAACAGAAAAAGCTGGAAGTGGCATTGTAGCTCAAGTAGAGTGCTAGACTTGAGCAAAAAGAGGCTCAGAGACAGTGCTCAGTCCCCTGAGTTCAAGCCCCAAGACTGGCAGAAAAAAGAAAATACTGGATGTGCTGGTGGTTCATGCCTATAATCCTAGCTACTCAGATCTGAAGATCTACTGAGATCTGAAGATCACAATTAGAAGCCAGCCTAACCAGACAAATCCATGAGACTCTTATTTCCAATTAACCATCAGAAAGCTCAAACTAGAGTTGTGGTTCATGTGGTAGCGTATCAACCATGAATGAAAAAGCCAGACTACTAACATACACACATACAAAATACCAGCTGAGTAATGCTGCATTTTTAAAATATATACATCATCTCAGAGATTTCATTTCTTGGTGAGTATTCTGCAATAAGCATGGGAATGTAGATACCATGTTTTGTTTTGTTTTGATTTGGTTTTGTGATCATAGGGCTTGAACTAAGGGCCTGGGCCCCTGAACTTGCTCAAGGTTAGTGCTCTACCACTTGAGCCACAGTGCTACTTCCAAATTTTTCCTGGTGGTTAATTGGAGCTAAGAGTTTCATGGACTTTCCTGGCTTTGAACAGTGATCCTCAGATGTCAGCCTCCTGAGTAGCTAGGATTACAGGCATGAGCCACCACCCAGCTTGTCAGTATCTTTTTTATATACTGATTTCATTTCCTTTGGAAATATATCCAGCAAGCTGGGCACTGGTGGCTCACACCTATAATCCAGGCCCAGAGTTCAAGCCCCACAACCAACAAAAAAAAAACAAAGAAAGAAAGAAGGAAAGAGAAATACACCCAGCAATTAGAAAAGCTATATCATAGCCGGGCGCTGGTGGCTCACGCCTATAATCCTAGCTACTCAGGAGGCTGAGATCTGAGGATCAGGGTTCAAAGCCTGGGCAGGAGAGACCGTGAGACTCCTATCTCCAATAAAAAACCACCAGAAAACCGGAAGTGGCACTGTAGCTCAAGTGGTAGAGCGCTCGCCTTGAGCTGAAGAGCTGAGGGACAGCGCCCAGGCCCAGAGTTCAAGCCCCACGACCGACAAAAAAAAAAAAAAAAAAGAAAAGCTATATCATATGGTAGTTATATTTTTTTGGGGGGGCGGGGGGTCAGTCATGGGGCATGAACTGTTGGTCTGGGCACACTGTCCCTCAGCTCTTCAGCTCAAGTCTAGTGCTCTACCACTTGAGCCACAGCACCACTTCCAGTTTTCTGAGTGGTTTATTGGAGATAAGAGAAGGATTTTTCTGCCCAGGATGGCTTTGAACCATGATCCTCAGATTTCAGCCTCCTGAGTAGCTAGGATTACAGGTGTGAGTCACCAGCGCCTGGCTCCTCTATTGACTTTTTAGAATAGAGAGACAATTTCTCCTTGCTATACCATACCTTATTTCACCTTAACTGCCAAGCCCTACTTTGTCTGTTTTGTGATTGGAAGACAGACGGATGAGCTGCTACAACCCAAGGAACTTGAACTGGACCCAGAACTTGAGGCACTAGATTTGAAGTCAGAGCTGATGCCAGAGCAAAGTCTGGACCTGGAGTTGGAGCCACTGCTACAGGCAGGGCTGGATCTGGGCTCAGCACTGGAACCCAGCTCAACACAAGAGCCCAAGCTAGAACCTGGGCTCGAACCCACACTATGCATGATCTCACCAAGAATGCTGGAGCCAGAATTGAAACCTGCATTACAGCAAGAGCCAGATTTGCCCTGTGATCTGCGATACTTGGAGACTGAAGGAATGGAAAGTAAGTAATGGAAAGACAGGGCCAGGGAAAAGGGGACCCAATCCTTCTCCTACTTCTTCCCCTCACCTATTACAGAAAGGCTGAGCTCCAACCTCTCATAAGAGTCAGATTCCAGCCGGGCGCTGGTGGCTCACTCCTGTAATCCTAGCTACTCAGGAGTCTGAGATCTGAGGATCGCGGTTCAAAGCCAGCCCGGGCAGGAGAGACCGTGAGACTCCTATCTCCAATAAACTACCAGAAAACTGGAAGTGGCGCTGTAGCTCAAGTGGTAGAGCGCTCGCCTTGAGCTGAAGAGCTGAGGGACAGCGTGCAGGCCCAGAGTTCAAGCCCCACGACCGACAAAAAAAGAGTCAGATTCCTTTAGGTTAGGAAAGGATCCGGACTCTAGGAAATACACTTGTTTCTTTAATCCCCTACTGCCACCACATACCATTCCTCCAGCCCTCCATCTCCTCTTACATCCTGTCCAGGCCTTTACTGCCTTGCCCCCTCACACTCTCTGCTGGGTTGGGAACTCTCAAGTTAACTGTGGGCCTGATTTTTCCTTCTTTATTACCTAGTTTTCAGATGTATAAAGATTGATGAAATCATGCCACATGGCGACCCACTGCTGGTTGGCCAGAACATTGTGGATGAAGCTTACATCTCCTGCCCAAGCCATTTTGACACAGATGGACCCCTTGATGACTTCTGACTACTAAGAACTACATTTCCTCTGTTATTTCTATATCTTTGACTCCCTCCCACCTCCCACGTCATAATGCTGCTCTCTGAGGATGGGAAATCAGGCATTCTAAGCTGGACTAACTGAAGCTGGGAGTGAGAGACAAAAGAAGAGCGTGTATATGGAAGGGGCGGCAAAGACTCAGGATAATTGCTAGTCATGGTTCTAAAGAGAATCCTGGAGGATGCCTGCTGTGCTGGATGGTGCAAGGTCCTTTGGTCAGACCAGGACAGTTGGAAGATACTTGGAATGCCTAGTACAGGGTCGCCTTTCCACTACAGAAGAATTTTGGCATTTTAAAATAGCTGATAAGGTTGAACTGATGCAGACTACTATTGGTCTTTGGTGGGGAGCATCAGCACTGGGTAGAATTCCTCTCTCTCCCTCTCTCCTTCTCACTGTCCTCCAGTTATTGTTGTATTTAGCACTTTGTATATACTAGGTAGGTACTACACACACCACACACCTCTAGTTCTTCACTTCTCTTTTGTTTCCTTCAGGTCTAGAATAACCTTTTCCTTTCTTCTTCCCTTTACTCCTGATGCCAAATTCCAGTGTCACACATACACACAGACACACACACAGTGTGACTTTTTTGCTCAAGACTGGTTCTTTACAACTTGAGCCACACCCTACTTCTAGCTTTTTGTTGGTTATTGGAAAAGTCTCACAGACTTTTCTGCTTGGGCTGCCTTGGAACCACTATCTTCAGGTCTGAGCCTCCTGAGTAGCTAGGATTACAGGCATGAGCCACCAGTGGCCAGCTTCAATCCTAAATTTCTAGCTTTCTGCCTCCGCCCACCATGTGAAACTCTGCCCTAAGGAAGGGTGTAGGAGGAGGGCTGTTCTTACTAGTTCTCTGCACTGCTCTGCTGCACAATTTCTCATCAAATGGTCCTGCTATTCTAATGTGACCCTGAAGCTTTACATTGCTATCTTAGGCTTTGTTAGCTCTACTTTCCCAATACTTAAGGGGTATAGGGTTGCTGAGAATTTGGAGATTGCTTTTTATAATATTAGATAGAATTTAGTGTCTTTGTAGAGAAAGAAAAATAGATATCAGCTGTTTTGCTATGAAGATGATCATCCTTTCTTTTGTACAATGTATTGTTTACCTTATACAAGATTTCTATTGCTTGGCTGTGACTTGGGCAAAGGCTATGTTCCTGGAACTGAGAGCCTTGAAGGTTTTTGTAGGAGCTGGACATCCTCAAACCTTAACCATTCCTAGGGATCCCAAGGGGTAACTACTACTGCTCTAAGAGATACTTCTGCTACAACTTGAGATATAAACAAATGTTAGGCCCTGCACATGTGGCTGTTTCCTGTCTGGATGTCAGAAAAACAGTTCTGTTTAGAAAAGGACCCGCCCCTCTGAACAAAAAAGGCTAATAAATGTTGTGCCAACCGTAAGTGTCTCATCTTAGAAATTTTTACTTCTCTATGCATCTATACTAACATTCTTTTTTTTTTTGTCAGTTGTGGGGCTTGAACTCACTCAAACTAGCCCTATATCACTTTTTTTTGGGGGGGGAGGGGTGGCGTCAGTCATGGGGCTTGACCTCTGACCTCTGGGCTTGGGCACTGTCCCTCAGCTCTTCAGCTCAAGGCTAGCGCTCTACCACTTGAGCCACAGCGCCACTTCCAGTTTTCTGGAGGTTTATTGGAGATAAGAGACTTTCCTTGCCCCAGCTGGCTTTGAACCCCCGATCCTTAGATCTCAGCCTCCTGAGTAGAAAGGATTACAGGCATGAGCCACTGGGCCTGGCTAGATACTAAGATTCTTAAAGACACCAGTAAGAACCAGGCACTGGTCTTTCATACCTATAATCCTAGCTACTCAGAGGCTAAAATCTAATGATCACAATTTGAAGCCTGCTGGGGCATTCAAATGTAAGGCCAAGCAAGAGCATGAGGCCTAGAGTTCAAGCTCCAATACTGGCACAAAAAGAAAAGGAAAAAGAAAAAGACATCAGCCGGGTGCTGATGGCTCATAATCCTAACTACTCCAAAGGCTGAGATCTGAGGATTGTGGTGTAAAGCCAGCCTGGGCAGAAAAGTCTGTGAGACTTTTATCTCCAATTAACCACCAGAAAACTGGAAGTGGAGCTGTGGCTCAAAGTAGTAGAGTACTAGCTTTGAGCAAAAAGAGCTCAAGGACAGCACCCAGGGATGGAATTCAAGCCCCACAACTAACACACACACACACACACACACACACACACACACACACGACTTCATCAAGGATATCAGCAGAGAGGAATGAGGTCATCAAGACATGGCCTCTCTTCCACCCACTTTTATACCCTTCTTGTCCTGTTTATTCTTCTCTACCCATTTGGAGCAATCTTCCGCCCTTTTCATTCTTGGAGTTGAAGGAATTATTTAACTATCTTATTGTACTCAGCTGCTCATTGGCAAAGTCAAGACCTAAAAATGATCAGGGATCTGACTCCCAGAACCACACTTTTTTAAATTAGTGTATATTAATGGCACAAAAGGGTTTCATTGTGACATTTCCTTACATGCATATAATACAGTTTCATCAAATTGCCTTAACTATTGCTCTTTCTTATCCTCCCCTCCTTTGTTTTTTGTTTTTCAGGTACTGGTCCTGGGACTTGAACACAGGGCCTGGCTACTATTTCTGAGCTCTTTTTGCTCAGGGATAGCACTCTACCACTTGAGCCACAGCTCCATTTCTGGCTCCTTTTTTTTTTGTGCTTAATTGGAGATAAGAGACTCATGGACTATCCTACCCTGGCTGGCTTCAAACTGTGACCCTCAGCTCTCAGCCTCCTGAGTAGCTAGGGTTATAGGCTTGAGCCACTGGTACCCTGTCCTTTCCCTCCTTTTTAAAACAATATTTAAATGTTTCATTATTCTTTTTTATTTTTGAGACACTGTCTTGCCACACAGACTAGGCTGGACTGGAGTTCACCATATATGCTGGTTGGCTTTAAACTCACAATCCTGCCTCAGCCGAGGGAGTGCTGGAATCACAGGCCTGAATCACCACACATGATCAAACCAGGATGATGGAGATGAGAAAAGGAAATAATCACTATCCCCTCCCCCTCCTCTTTTTCTTCAAGGATAAGTTAACTCCTCTTGACTACCACACTCCTTCCTGAAGGGGCCTACGGATGTTCTGTAGGGAGAATCCCATTGCCTCAGGGGATTTATTTTCATCTCTCTGGAATACCCTCCCTGCCTGAAACCACGCTCTCGTGTTTGCTTTGGTAGCATATAAACTAAAATTAGAATAATAGAGAAAAGAACACTGAGCTCTTACTTTGATACTGTAGTTATTAGTTATCTTTGACCAGATGTGCTTTGGTGGGGGTGTCCTGGAGCTTGAACTCAGGGCCTGGGTGCTGTCCCTGAGCTTTTGTCAAGGCTAACAACATTCTACTGTACTTCCAGCTTTTTGGTGATTAATTGGAGATGAGAGTCTCCTGGACTTTCCTGCCCAGGTTGACTTTAAACCCCTATACTCAGATCTCAGCTTTCTTGAGTAGCCAGGATTTTAGGTGTGACCCAGCTGGCTAGATATGCTCTAAGAAATAAGAGAAGAAGGCCATGGATCAGGAAGTAATTAACCCCAAGATAGGTGACCCACTTCTTGATTTCAACTCCTTATAATCCCATTCTGCTTGTTCAGCTATCTAAGGATTGTGTGTGTGTGTGTGTGTGTGTGTGTGTGTGTGTGTGTGTGTGTGTGTGTGTGTGTGTGTATGAGTGTGCAGGCCAGAACTCAGGGCCTTGCTCTCTTGCTGAGCTTCTTAAGGGTGCAGCCACACTTGTACTTTCCAGCTTTTTGCTGGTTAATTGGAGATAAGAGATTCTAGATTTATCTGCCTGGATTGGCTTCAAACAATCCTTCTATCTCAGCCTCCTGAAGAGCCAGGATTTATAAAGCACGAGCCACCGGCGTCCAGCAAGATTCCAGTTATTCTATATGGTAAAGAGTAGAAAAGTTTGGGTTGGGAAGGTGGCTCAGTGGTAGAGCGCTTGCCTTGCATGCCTGAGGCCCTGGGTTCGATTCCTCAGCACCACATAAGCAAAAAGAAAAAAGCCGGAAGTGGCGCTGTGGCTCAAGTGGTAGCGTTAGCCTTGAGCTGAAGAGCTGAGGGACAGCGCCCACGCCCAGAGCTAACATTCTACCACTGAAGCCACAGTTGCCATTTCCACTTTTCTGAGTGGTTAATTGAAGATAAGAGTCTCAAATACTTTCCTGCTCAGGCTGCCTTTGAACCACAATCCTCAGATCTCAGCCTTCTGAGTAGCGTGAGCCACCAGTACCCGGCTGTAATCTTTCTTTTTTCGTCCTGGTCCTGGAATTTGAACTCAGGGCTAGGAAGCTGTCCCTGAGCTTTCCTGCTCAAGACTAGTGCTTTCCACTTGAGTCACAACTCCATTTCTGGCTTTTTTGGTAGTTCATTGGAGATTAGAGTCTCACATGCTTTCCTGGGGTGGCTGGCTTTGAACTGTGATCCTCAGATCTCTACTAAGTAGCCTACTAAGTAGCTAGGATTACAGATATGAGCCACCAGTACTCATTTTCCCATCTGTTTTTCTTTCCCACACCATGAAATTAGAATCAGAGTGACATAAATAAATCTTTATTTAAAAAAGGTAGAATTCCTTATAAATAAAATAAATAATCCCCGGTAAACTATGAGGATAAATAATACCAAAATTTCCCTTCCCATATAATAAATAAGCAATTTTTTACAGGTCAGCAATTTTTTTCAACACATAAATCCTATTAGAATGAGTGCACGAATTAACTTGTGTTAATTAGCTCCTATGTGTCAGAGCTAATAGCTTCATCTTGTTATAGTTGAGCTTTGGAGGTATGGGTGTCATCCTTCAAGCTATTTGCTTTAGGGGCTCAGAGTTGCTGCTCCATGGGAAAAGACACGAGCAGCTACTGCCACAAAGGCCTGGAGGCTGCGAAGGATCTTGATGCGGAGAAGGGGGCGCTGCCATGGCTGGCTGGAACTGGGGATAGGAATCGGCTGAATTTCCCAGTGGTGACCCTCGGGCTAAAAAGACACAGGACGTGGTGAGAAAGGACTCTTAAATCCTTACCCTCCAACCTCTACCTCTGACACTCTCCCCCTCCCACCCCCCAATCTTGTAGTACCCTGATTCATACCGGCAGGAGTTGACTGAGGCCTAAAAGGGAGGCATGAAGCTGCCTTACAGGACCATCAGGCAGTAGAAAAGGTTCCCCTGTGAAAATATCGGAGCCCAGAAGCTTCTCATAAAAAACCAGACCCTGGTGGATCCTTTGCAAGCAGAACTAGGGGGAGAAGAAAGCAATGAGAGAATATGGATAGTCTCCATCCAAAGATCTATCCACTTCTCAGCCACAACTCCTAGGTCACAAGAAGTACAGCCAAATTCTCAGCCTCCACTGCCTTGTGGCACAGCCTCATTTACCTGGCTGTTGTCCCTGAGTCCTTGTGGATCACAGCCATCCTCACACTGGATATGGGGGACTTCATCTGTAGTCTCTTCATCTTCCTCTTCTCTTAGAAGATCCTAGTATAGAGAGGAGAATGGGAAGAATGAAGGAAGATAAGTACCTTTGAAGCTAGATGTCAGTACCTAGCTACTCAAGAAGCTGAGATCTGAGGATCACAGTTAGAAGATAGTTCCTGCAGGAACATCTGTGAGACTCTTAGCTCCAGTTAATGGCCAAAAAGAAGTGGACCTGTGGCTCAAGTGATAAGAGCACTAACCTTGAGTGGAAAAAGCTAAGGGACAGTGCCCAGGCCCTGAGGTTCAAGCTCCAATAATGGCACGCACGCACACACCACAAAACCTTTGAGTCCTACTGGACTCTTAGGCCTGTCTGCCTGTCTCAGGAATTCTGTCTTTTTCTCATCTCCTGAGGCCTTCAGCCACAGCTTCCACCCAACCCTGCAGCCTTAGAGGGATTGGAGAGGTTCCCAGATGCTAACACTTACCATGTGTCCCACTGGTGAATGTGCATTCCAGGCCAATGTGCAGATCTTCTGTGAAAGCTTCTGACACTGGTCCCAGGCAGGGTTGCCACCCCCAGACACAGCCCGGCCTTGAGCAATCCAGGGCAGCAACAACAGCACCACCACAGCTGGGTTCTCAAGCATCATGTTGCCTGCTTCTCAAATCTGGCTGGTTCTGTGACCTGCAACAACCTTTGTGGAATCTCTACCCACTTCCACTTGCTCTGAGCCTCCCTCTCTGTTCTGTCTCTGCTGTGATTCTCTCCGTTGTCCGGGGTTTCTGAGCTCGCTTCCCGTTGTTTTTCTCCCTTTGTCTCTCTGACTAGAGCTCTTTTTAAGGACCTTGCATCTCAAGGCCCGCCCTTTACACTCAGGTGACTCACAGCAGGTGGGATTCCCCTCCCAGCATCATCTCCCTCTGTGGACAGCCCAGGTATATAGCCTCAGTTCTAGGGGAAAGAATGATGAGATTGCTGTGACTAGGGACCTAGGATGGGACACTCGTGTGTAATGCTCTCCAGGAATTGAAATGGCTATAGAAAGGGCAGGGAAGTTAATGAGAACACTTGAATGAATATGGTCTCAAGTTCCTTCCTCCTGTTTAATAATATGTCTCTGATCTTTTGGCTTCTCCAAGCTTTACCCCTACTCCACCCCAAACTCATTTCCTCATTTCCTCTTGCCTGAAGAAAAACCAAAACAGAGAAGCAGTCACTGGTCTCCCCACAGGATGATGAACTCAGCTTGAAATGAAGGTTGGCTCCTATGTGATGTTTGCTGTCTAGGAACAAGGGCTTCTTTTCTCCATTGGAAACTTGTTTTCACTGGATGGTCCTGCAGAGATGTCCCAGGAGAGAATGAACATACACAACTACTTTGTGACCTGGGAAGCCATTTAAGTACTAAGTATGGCATTATTGCATCACTTCAGGTCCCGCTGTAGAGAGCACTTTGGGGGAACTATTTTTCAACCCACTTAGTGGTCTGAGGTTTCATGGGTTTCATGGGTTCTGTGACATTCAGTTGATGATGATTTTTTTTTTTTTCAGGATATCAGTGTAAGCAAGGACTGGAAGTGCAACTCAGATATTCTAGCACCAGTTCCTACCCCATGGCTAGAAAGTCCAGGAGTTACACGCGGTTGAAGGCACACAGTGACAATGACCCTGGCTGGTCCTTCAGCCTATTGCATCCATGGGTAAAATCCACTGACGTTGCTTTTATCACCTCCTGATGCAATATCTATTGAAACAGCTCAGAGCATGAGATTGGGTGTGGGAGTGCTGGGTGGTCTGAAGCTGGGACTGCCCCAACCCCTGTGGAGGGTTCCAGAATAATTTGAATGTCAGAAAGAGGCCATCAGTGAGCACACGGCTGGCTCTCAAAGCCACCCCAAGAAGTTGACTTTTTTCTTCTCAGAAACTTGATCTCCATAGAGGCCTCCTTTCCTTTAGAACTATTTAAAACTGGCCAATTTCTGGTTCAAATATTATGGTTTTGCGATGGCTACCCTTTGGATATATTTCCAGCATTCCAGCTCAGGCTGGGCACTGGTGGCTCACACCTATAATCCTAGCTACTCAGGAGGTTGAGATCTGAGGATCATAGTTCAAAGCCTGGCAGAAAAGCCCATGAGACTTTTACCTCCAATTAACCACCAGAAAACTGGAAGTGGTGCTGTGCCTCAAGGTGGTAGAGTGCTAGCTTTGGGTCAAAAAGCTCAGGGATAGGGCCCAGGCTCTGAGTTCAAGCCTCATGACTGACCAAAAAAATAAGAGGAGAAAGAATTAGCTCAAATCAGGTACTGCAGGTTCTGGTGGCTCATGCCAGTAATCCCAGCTGCTCAGGAGGCTGAGATATAAGGATCATAGCTCAAAACCAGCCTGGCCACGAAAGCCAGCCTGGCCAACAAAAAAGCCAGAAGTAGAGGTCTGGCTGAAGTGGTAAAGAGCCTTCCTTGACCCTGATTTCATGGTCCAGTATCCCCACAAAAAGGGGAAAAAATAAAAAGAATTAGTTCATATAATGACAATGATGATAATGACAAGTTTCACTACTCTGAGGACACTCTCCCAATTTAACCTGTGCTAGAAGTAAGTAAATCTTCTTATCCCTTTAAACTCAGCTAAAACAAAGTTAAGTTTTCTACTGTTCCACCTTGATTTTATTTATAGCACTAACAATAATGGTTCCACTGTAAAGCAAATGTTAAAAGAAAATAAAACCTCCTGGGGCTGGGAAGGTGGCTCAGTGGTAGAGTGCTTGCCTCGCATGCATGAGGCCCTGGGTTGGATTCCTCAGTACCACATAATCAGAAAAAGCCGGAAGTGGTGCCTTGGCTCTAGTGGTAGAGTGCTAGCTTTGAGCTGAAGAGCTCAGAGACAGTGCCCAGGCCCAGAGTTCAGGCCCCACGACCCACAAAAAAACAAACAAACAACAACAACAACAAAAAAAACTCCATTATCTCAAAAAAAAATTAGGTTTGGAGAAAATGTTTACCTTTCCTTACATAGCCATAAATAGAAAAGGGAAATTGGGGAGTTTAACTTAATTTATATAGCAGTTCTCCTATCTCTTCCTACATGGGTATGTCTATATACTTATGCCAGTACTGGAGCTTGAACCCAGAGCACTGGTACTGTAATTTAGCTTTTTTGCTCAAGGCTGGTATTCTACCACTTGAGCCACACCTGGACTTCTGGCTTTTTTGCTGGTTCATTGAAGATAAGAGTATCACCGACTTTTCCTCTAACCTCAAGTATCAGGCTCTTGAGTATCTAGGATTGCAGCCATGAGGTACAGGAACACAGATTCTTTCTACTTTTAGTGCCCATTCTGGGAGTCCTAAAAGACAGGAGATGAGCTGGGGTGTGGCTCAAGTAGCAAAACACCAGCCTCGCAATTTCAGGCCCCAGAGTTCAAACCCCAGTCTGCCCCACCTCCCCAAAGGAAAACAAAAGGAGATGAAAGGTGAAAGGGAGGAGAAGGAAGTAGAGGCCTGGGAATGGGATGAGAGGAATGGGGGTGAGCTGGAGGCACAGAGCTCTTACCTCTTTTGTTTCACTTCCTGATGTTTTAGCAATTGGGCTGGAAGGAGGGTTGGTGGGGCAACTGTGGGACTGTTGCGTAGCAGGAACTACTTCCAAGGCTACTTCTGACCTGGAGCTCTAAGAAGCCCTTGACGTCAGTCAGCTGGGACTCAACCGTTATGCAAATTGTATTCACCGGACACTCCTGGGCAGGCCTTTCTAGTTGGATATCCAGACTCCAAATCTAGTTGAGGTTCCCCAGGTGGTTAATAATACCTGATAATAATGGTAGCTAATATATATCTAACTCTCACATTAGGTTATGTACTTTGTTTAAGCACTTAATATGATTTAACTCAATTCATTCTCACAACAACCCAATGACAAAGGTAAAATGATTATCCCACATGAGGACATTAAGTAATTTGCAAAAAAAAAGAAAAAAAAAAACACCCATAGAGCTACAAAGTACTTAAAATTGCAATGTAAACAATCTACCTTTGGATTCTGTATTTGGGGGGTGAAGATGGGGGGGGGAAAGGAGGGAGAGTATAGGGGCTGAGAACAAGTCTTATTATGTAGACTTCACTAGTTTGTAACAGGCTACCTAACCTAGGCTGTCCTTGAACTATTTATCCTCTTGCCTCAGTCTCCTGCTTGCTGGGATTGTAGGTTTGTAGGCTTTGAACCACGATCCTCAGATCTCAGCCTCCTGAGTAGCTAGGATTACAGGCGTGAGCCACCAGCGCCCGGCTTTTAAAGAGATTTTTATGCCAGTACTGAGGCTTGAACTCAGGGCTGGTTAGGCTTTTTCTCTTCATGAATGGTGCTGTACCACTGTGTTATACCTCCAGTTCTGTATTCCTACACCTATTTATTTTTTTCTGTTTGGTTGATGATAAGAGTATCTCTGATCTGTCTGACTGGGCTGGCTTTAAACCTTGATCCATAGATCTTAGCCTCCTAAGTAGCTAGGATTTCAGTCCTGAGTCTGTTAGATTCGAATTTGAGACCCCCAAGCAACCCCCAGAGACCACGACCAATGCAAACAGCAAAAGAGTCATTTATTTGCAAGCTTGAGAGCCTGGACTCACAATCATCACCGATGCAGCGGGTCAGAGGTGTGAGCCCAGATCACATGTTCAGTAGGATTCTTATAGGGTTTCCAGCAAATAGGAGAGGGTTTAAGGTTTGCAGGCTTCTACATAATTGGTCAGCATTACACGGGCAAGTTTCTGGTCGCCCTGACCCTGCAAGCTGCTTCTACTAGCTGACCATCCCATCCATTTTCCAGTACCTGAGGTTGTGTTTCTCAACCCTTATCTAACTGGGGTTGCTAGGGGTATAATGGGGATAATTGCAGTTTTGATTGTGGGCTTTCTGAGAACCTTCCAAGAACTGGTTTTTCCAATAACTGTTTTGTCCCTTAAGTTTAACCTGAGGTCAGTTTTACAGATGATGGCTTGTTTTTAGAATGGAGTTAGCTTAGTCCTTCAAGTCCTGTTGCATAGCTTATTATCATTTTTTGAGTTAAATCTCAGGACCTGTGAAATCAGATCAGTTGAGACCCCCTGAATTAAGATGTTTTTCTTGCCAGCCTCTGGTGGCTCACACCTGTAATCCTAGCTACTTAGGAGGCTGACATTTGAGGATCCTTGCTCAAAGCCAGGCCAGACAGGAAAGTCCAGGAGCTTCTTTTCTCCAACTAAGCTAAAAAAAAAAAAATGGAAGTAGCACTGTGGCTTGAAGTGCTAGTGTATTTGCCTTAAGCAAAAAGAGCTCAGGGACAGTGCCCAGGTCCTGAATTCAAGCCTCACAATGGACCAAAAAAAAATAAAAGAGAGAGAGAGAGAGAGAAAGATAATTTTTTTTTTTTGGTATGGTCATGGGGCCTGAACTCTGGGCGTGGGCACTGTCCCTCAGCTCTTCAGCTCAAGGCTAGCGCTCTACCACTTGAGCCACAGTGCCACTTCCGGCTTTTTTTTCTGCTTATGTGGTGCTGAGGAATCGAACCCAGGGCCTCATGCATGCAAGGCAAGCGCTCTACTACTGAGCCACCTTCCCAGCCCCGAGATAATTTTCTTTCGGGGCTGAATGAGTGGCTCAGGTGGTAGAGTGACAGCCAACAAATAAATGTTTCAGATGCTGTATGAGTCAATCACTTTTCTCTTATTTTATTCCAGACCTCTGACTCTATGACGTCTCTGAATGTAGGAAGTCTAGATTTTTGTTTGTTTTTTAGTGATGGTATTTAAGAATAGAACAGAGAGTCTGGTAATATGGCTTAATGGTAGAGTGCTTGCCTAACATTCATGAAGCCCTGGGTTTGATTCCTTAGTACCACATTCTACCACTTTGAGCCACAGAACCACTTCCGGTTTTCTGATGGCTAATTGAAGAGTCTCAAGTATT